GATGGTTGGACCGGGGCCCCAGCGTCCCCGTGGCAAGCGGCATTGGAGGGCGCCGCCATTTCCCCGCTCTGACCACGCCCCCACATACAGCGTCACAACCCAGCGACCTGGGAGTCCAAGGCGCCGCTTCTCACATTTAAAGGGCCAGAACAGACCAAAAATGTCGCAGGAAGACCTCAAAGCCCCAGAGATAAATCTAAGCGACGAAGAAATAGCAAAACTCTCAGACGCACAGTTTAAAACACTGGTCATCAGGATCCTAACAGATCTGGTTGACTATAGCCACAAATTAGAGAAACATATGAAGGCTAAACTAAGGGAAATTAATGGAATTCCACAGGAAACCAATAGCGATGAAAAGGAAACTGGGACTCAAATCAATGGAGTGGACCAGAAGAAAGCAAATAATGGCCAAACAGAAAAGAGTCAAGGAGCAAGAATTCAAAGAAATGAGAGTCTTAGGAACCTCCAGGACATCTTTAAACGCTCCAATATCCGAATTATAGGGGTACCAGAAGGGGGAAAGTCACAGCCACCAGTGGAAAAATTATTTGAACAAATAATAAAAGAAAATTTCCCCAATCTGGCAAAGGAAATAGACTTCCAAGAAATCCAAGAAGCTCAGAGAGTACCAAAAAAGTTGGACCCAAGAAGAAACACACCAAGGCATATCATAATTACATTAGCCAAAATTAAAATGAAGGAGAGAATCCTAGAAGCAGCAAGAGCTAAGGGGACAATCACCTACAAAGGAGTCCCCATCAGACTGTCAGCAGATTTCTCAAAAGAGACCTTACAGGCAAGAAGGGGCTGGAAAGAAATATTCCAAGTCATGAAATCTAAAGACCTACAACCAAGATTGCTCTATCCAGCAAAACTTTCATTTAGAATGGAAGGACAGATAAGGTGCTTCTCAGATAAGATCAAATTCAAGGAGTTCATCATCACCAAGCCCTTATTATATGAAATGTTAAAGGGACTTATCTAAGAAAAAGAAGTTAAAGAAACATGAACAGTGAAAGAACAACAAGCTCACAGTTATTAACAACCACACCTAAAACAAAAGCAAACTAAAAGAACAGCTAGATCAGGAGTGGAAACATAGAAATGAAGCTCTCAAGGAGGGTTAGCAACAGGGGAGTGGGAGGAGGAGATGGGGGGAGAAGGTACAGAAAATAAGTAGCATAGACAGTAGATAGAAAATAGATGGGGGGGGGCAAGAATAGCATGGGAAATATAGAACCTAAAGGACTTGAGACACATGGTCATAAACTAAAGGGGGGTAATGGTGGGGATGGGGGGGCAGGGTGGAGGGGAATGAAGGGGGGAATAGAACAACTGTAACAGCATAATCAATTTAAAAAAATAAATTAAAAAAAAAGTGAAAACAACCAGAATGTTCACGAATTGATCAATGGATAAACAAAATGTGGTGTTCCATCCAGTGGAATAGTATGCAGCCATAAAAAGGAATGAAATACTGATACATAGTACAACAGGGATGAACCTTGGAAACATGCTCACACTGTTAGCTCATACATGGCCCATTTCACTCCTATGTGTTATCTGTGCTCAGCCTTTCTAGACTTTGGGTTGGATTGGAAATTGTTTATTCATTCATGAAGCCTATGATACATGTCTGTTCCACACACTAAACTCTGTTAGCTACTAGGACAATCCTATCCTCAGGGAAGAAACTGCAAGAAGCTGGAGAAAGACCTAGAGAACCAGTTAATTACAATACTACATAATGCTGGAAGCGTGGGCAGGGAATCGCTGTGTAATTACAGACATGGGGCTTCTAAGCCTGAAGTGTTTGGGAGTTGGGGAGGTCCAGAGCTTCTGCAGAATGTGGTCCTGGATCCTGTGTGCCCTCTCTTTAGTTTCCAGTGCCTTCATTCTTGACCATGAAGGAACATTTCAGCAGTAACTACATGTCTTCCAGGCACAGCCACAAACTAAAGAATTTCATAGAATCTGAAAATCCCACAAGGAAGAGAAAAGGAGAACTGAAGACTGGGTGAAAAGGAGTGGGGAAAAAAATAAAGGGCAAAGAAGAAGAGAAACAAGAAAAAGAGTATTCAAACAAACGAGAAACACATTTATCTCGTCTCGGAACTGCCACTGATACTCATGTAGAATTCCCAGGGTTTTGACTCCAAGGAAAATTATGCAGAATTGAAACTTCACAAAGCTTATAGGGAACGGATGTATCTTTCCATTTTCTTGTTTTATTTCCACTGGGGCACTTCCATCCTTTCATTCCAAGATTCTCATATTGGCCATGTTGAGTGATGTCTTTGACAAGGCAGAGAACTTCTTCCAGTCTGACAGGTGGGAGTTCACTCCCGTGGGTGAGTAGGAGGAGTTTGACGTAAGTTTGGATGGGACATCAAATGCCCGAATGAAAAGCCCAAGCTTGAACACCCAGCTCCTGGCATGACTTGGGCAAGTAATAACCTCTCATCCCCAGCCTTCTCTTCTATCAAATGAGGAGACAAAAATAATGCCTAATTTAGGACTAAAATGGGATAGTGCATGATATCTGGGTGAGGGGTTCTTACCCAAGAGAGGAAGACTATAGCTTAGCATTGAAAGTGTCAAGAAAAGGCTCATTTGTAACATGTTTAATTAAGTTTATTTTGATGTTGAATGGAATATCCAATGGTCAACCAGCAGATTTTACCATTCTTCTTTCTGGGCCTTAGGAATAAAATTGATTTGTTGTTTGATTTCCAGAACCAAACAATTGTTTTTAAAGCACTCTCACCGAGCCTTCAGTGTGCGATGCCTGAGATTGTTTGTGGGATTAAGTGAGACATACTGAGGAGAGATCTTGAGGTGTATAAACATTTACTTTATTGGTGGGGAAGGTTTTATGAGAAGTGTGTTTTCCAGATTTCTTCATTCATTAGGGAGAATTGCTACTAATGGACTTGGTAGGAGTCAGGAAAAGGTTTTTGGGTGGGGAGAATTCTCCAGCCCCCACAATCCATATCATCTGTATCCTTAACCATATCCACATGTAGTTTCTGCCCAGCAGATGGATTCTAGATTTTAAACAATCCTACATAGTCTCCAAGAAGCAAGGAACCATTGTCCTATTTTGCCAAGTGGCCAAGCGCTGGCAGGACGGCTGTGGGTGAGGCTGCCCCTGGGAACAGACATAGAAGTGGTGGAACTTGACATGACCTTTCCGAAAACGGATTGCCCTGGTTGCTTCCAAGAATGGATTCTGTCTGAAGGTGGAGCTCTTCATTTTCTCCACCAATGAGCCTTCCTTACCAAGTGAAAGCCAGGGACACTAAAGAGGGCAGCCTTTGAAAGTCTCCAGCTGGAGAATTCCCTGGGGTCAACTCACTAGTCATGATGTGGATGGTCCAGGTGGTGACCGAGTGTGTTGTCCATCTCATCACTGTTCCCTCGAGCCTCCAGGAGACGTACCGTAGCAGCAGAGTCAACTGCCCCGCAGTCTTGCCTTCCTCCTGCCTCCGAAAGCGCAGTCTCCTTGTTCTGTGGTGTCAGAAGTCTAGACTTTGCGGGGTGGCAGGGGAACCAAGAATATTCCCTGAGGGTCAGTGCAGGTGGAAGTGATTAGAGATACCGCTTCCTCAGTCTCTGTGTGTCCACCTGCTGTGAGACCTGGTCCGCAAGTTTATGTGGCCCCTGAGGCCCCACGCTTGCCAATGGGAGTTTAGCCCTCACAACTTCAGTAGGACCTATAAAAATAAATGACTCAGTGCTAATTATTTCAAGTTAGCAATTCGTTTAAGAGCCAAGACTGAGGAATGGAAACTGACTTGGATCAAGGAGAAATGTCATGGTGTTTAGACCTTGCCAGAGAAATCTCGATTCTTTTTTGTGGTGTGGGAGGGTGCACAGCCAAAGTAGGAAAGCTATATCATCCTGCAGGGATGCTTATTCTCTCCTCTGCTCTCTGAGCTCTTGCTCTCCCTTCAGCAGTGACAATGCACCTGCTGGCCTGGGAACTTCCTTAGCCAAGGAGATCCCTGCACAGGCTGTTATTTGTGTTTGCAGTGTGTGTTTGTTTACCTTTGTCCTAATTTGACTCTGAGTCTGAGACTCATGGGCTTCTAACGTGCAGACCTAGCGAGGAAGAGGAAGTGGAAATAGGAACGAGAAGCAGAATCACAGGGAAAGTGGGCGGGCAGCATTATAATTGGCCTAGACTTCCCTCTGAGGCCATGTGGATTTTGCACCTGTTTCTACCAACTCTTCCTTGGCAGGTACTAGCTCCAAAGGAAGCCAATAAGACTGAAGGACAGAGAGGGGACCAACTGCAAACACCACAGCTGTAGCAGGGTCGCAGCTCTCCTACATGTATAGGAGAGACTGCTTGGTGGTGGCAAGTCCTGGTGCTCCTTAAAGATCAAGGGAACTCACTTTCCCAACACGGTCTTCAGAGAACATGAAAGATGTGGGGGCTGGCGTGGCTCAAGAGCTGACCGCTCCTGGCCATCTTCTCCTGAGCCAGAGAGGCCCAGGGAAGGGAGAGGGGAGGACTTACAGATTTAAGTGTGACTCCACCCCGGCTGGGGAATCCAGGCAAACACTGAACAGTCTCAGTCTCCCGGGAGCGTGGTCTTCCAACCAGCGCGTGCCTGTGCTCACACTGGGTGAGCTCCCAGTTCGAGGAGGACTGTAAATCACAGGCAGATCACCTCTGCAGGTGTCTCCCGAGAATCCTTCGGCCACGCCCATTCCCTTTCTGGTCTGATTGGGAGAGGGATGGCTGACCCCAGCCAGACAGCGCTCCTGCTCCTTGGGGTGGGGAGGAGCCCTCAGGGTGCAAGAGGCGCCTGGGCTTCTCCCCAGCGGTTCACACATTCCGCGTCCTCAGCCTCCCACTTGTCGGAAAAACCCAGCTCCGCCGCAGTTTTCTGTGTCCAGGTGCTTGTGGAGCCTCACAGCAGGACAGGCTGCTGCTGGCTCCTTCCGCGGGGCTCTGAAAACAGAGCCTCTAACTCAAGCCTCATGTTTCCTCCAGGGAGTTCGCATCTGGGCCTTCGCTGTCTCTCCCTTCGGTTCTCTGAACGGGCCAGCGCCTGCGTGCCTTCCTGATTATGTATTTGAGCGGAAACACATTTGTGACAGAGGGATTAAAAGGCAGCGGTTAGAAGTGTCTGCCTGCGTTTCTGTTGATTTGCCTTCGCGGGGGCGGGGCGCAGGGCAGTTAGTCCTGATCAGGGAGAGCGAGCCTTCCTCCGTGGGCTGGCGTGGTCAGCGCTGCTGTTCCTCTGGGACAGCGGTTGGCCCTGCATTTCAAAGGCCATGTGGATGGGACTCCGACCACAGCCAGAGCCGTCTTCTTTTCCTCGGAAGCCTGAGGACAAAGAGAATCTTTTCATTTTTTTATTGTTGACACTGTTACTGGTGTCCATTTCCCTCCCCTTTGGCCCCCCCTCCACTCGGCCCCCACCCCGTCCAGGTCTTCACCTCATTGTTGTCTGCGTCCAGGGGCCGTGCATATATGCAAATATGTTCTTCTGCTAATCTCCTCCAGTCCCCCCACCCCCGCCCCTCTGAGATCTGTCAGTCTGTTCCCCGTCTCCACGCCTCTGGCTTTGGAGAACATTATGCTGAACGAAATAAGCCAGAGAAAGACGAGTACCGTATGATCTCACTCATGTGTGGACTCTAATGAACCAAATAAACTGACGAACAAAGAGAATCGACAATTTGGGGCAGTGACTACGTAGGACATTTTTCAACTCAACAAGAAGAGTATTTAAAGTCCACGCTTCTGTTTTTAATTAGACACATTTATCTTTGTGTACTCCGAGCAGCTAATATCCAAGGATGTTTGTCAGTAATGGATACTTCGAGTTGGAAGTTGTTTAGTCTGTATACCAGGAAAATAAATTTTATACAGTAAGGCCAAGCTTGTTCAAATCATGAGGAAATAAATGCATCCATGTGCAGGGAAGGGGAAGAGAATTTAAGTCCTGTGTGATGGAGAAGCAATAATCGGGACAAGAAGTCGGATGCCGAATAAATTCTCCGACACTCTAAGTAATTTGGGAATGCCATAGAATTTTCAGAGCTGTTGGCTGACGCTGTAGTCAAAATAATTTTTGTTTGTTTCGTTTTAACTCACTCATACTATTTTGAGTGAGGAATAATGAGCATGGGGCTGATCCCATGAACTTCTGGGTTACACCTGGGTACGGATTCTGGCTGTGCTCTGTATTAACGACGTAGCATTAAGCACGCGACCCAAACTGCTCTACCCCAGTTTCCTCGTCTATGAAATGGAGAGAATAGTAGTACAGTTGGCGGGTTCTGTATCTGTGGGTTCCTTATCTGCAGATTCAACCAACCGTGGGTTGAAAACGTTTGGGGAAAAAATTGTTACTTTTGGCTGATATACACTGTGTAGTTAGGCCCACAATGGTTGCATCTCTACTGAATGTGTGCAGACTTTTTTTTTTTTTTGCTTGCTTTTATCCCCTTACGATACAGGCCTGGGAAACAACCGTGGTTCGATTCCTAGTCAGGGCACATGCCTGGCTTGCAGGCCAGTTCCCAGCAGGGGACACATGAGAGGCAACCGCACATTGATATTTCTCTTTCTCTCTCCTTCCCTTCTCCTCTAAAGATAAATAAATAAAATCTTTTTTAAAAAGTACACATAAAAATGCATTGTTCAGTCTGGACTGTGACTAAATCATCACCATTTTTAGAACCGGCCCGTCTCCTTTCGCTTAACCCGAGGTCTTTTGGATTCCCCACCCCTTCCTTTGAATGGCGTAACTGAACTCCATTGTCCTTTCCCTCACACAGGGCAGCCACCGATCACAACGTGGATAACACAACAGAAATACTCAGGGAGTGGCTGAAAAATGTGCAGAGAGCCTATCACTATGTGGAGTGGAGGCCTATGGATGAACCTGAGTGAGTAGCAAGAGAACATCTGGTGAACTTGTTTCTTGCCTTCCTCCCTTAAGCAGGTGTCCAGTCTTAGAGGCACAGGTGACCTTTTCTTGTCTTTCATCTGTGCATCTATTAAATTTCTTCCTTTTGACAAATCTTCATCTTTCTCACTTCCTCTTTACTCTGGCAGGTACTGGCCAAGTTCAGGTTCTCACTAGTTCTCATGTATATATTTCAAATCTCAGCATGTGGTCCTTAGTTTCTCTCTATATTAATACTTTTATATACATGTGTATACATATATAGCTCAAATCCAAGTGTATGACTGATATATCAAGCAAAATTTAACTACAAAATCTGAACACTGTAAAAAATTTCAACACTCTTTGGCACTTTTTTTAATGGAATTTGGCCTAATTACAATGGCTAAGAAACATTTTATGTACCTGCCTTGCATGCTGGTAATCTTCTCTGTAGCCAGTTTTCAACTAAGCATATTGTTTGACAAGGTTAGGGTGAGAAATATTAGGGGAGGCATTCACTGGGATGGCAACATATTCAGAAAGACAGGAATTGTACTGATTTTCATTGAAACAATAATAGAGGAAGGCATTCCAGAGAATGCCAGTATGGTGCATAGTTTCATTAATCTCATTTGCACAGTTTTTATGGTTTTTCATTCGCTGAGGCTCATGTACCGCCAGCACAGCCACAAGAACTTGAAGTGGTGGCCAGTCTGGGCCACTGTGAGTGACAGTAGCCAATTAGGAGTTTTCCGAAGGGCTCTCGGGAGTGCACCAACCGCTTGCCAGTGCCCTGAGTTGGCTGTTCCGAGGAGGCTGACGGGGATTCAAAGGACGGTGCATCTGCTCCCTGACCTCCCTCCCCCTGGGACACCTCAACCTATCAGGTTCTGTGGAATCGTTTCCTGAGACCTGCCCGCATACACGAAACCTTTGTTTTTCCTGGGAAACACGTGTTTTTATGCTACAAAATTTCCAAATGTATTGGGTGATGAAATATGTTTTGCAGAGTATCTAGCAACGTGAACTTCTGGGTTACACCTGGGTTCAGATTCTGGCTGTGCTGTATATTAACAACGTAGCATTAAGCACGCGACCCAAACTGCTCTACCCCAGTTTCCTCGTCTATGAAATGGAGAGAATAGTAGTACAGTTGGCGGGTTCTGTATCTGTGGGTTCCTTATCCGCAGATTCAACCAACCGTGGGTTGAAAACGTTTGGGGAAAAAATTGTTACTTTTGGCCAATATACACTGTGTAGTTAGGCCCACAATGGTTGCATCTCTACTGAATGTGTGCAGACTTTTTTTTTTTGCTTGCTTTTATCCCCTTACGATACAGGATAACAACCACTTACATAGCATTCACATTCTCCTAGGTATTAAAAGTAATCTAGAGATAATTTAAAACATGTGGGAGAATGTGCATAGGTTATAGGCAAAATACCACTCATTTAATATAAGGGATTTGAGCATCTACAGATTGTTATGTCCACGAGGGGTCTGGAACCAATCCCCCATGGTTACCAAGAGATGATTCTGCTCACCTAGTAGGGACTCAATGGGTTCTTTTTAGAACCCACTTAAATATTTTATGTAAAGATTCTCATGTACGATAAACAGCAGATCTGTCCTGGCTCCAGTTTCCCTATGGGCGATGGGGAACAATACTAATAATAATAGTATCTACTTCAAGCTAGGGTTACTGGCAGATTAAGGGAGTTACTACACAGTCCTGGAATATATAAGCACTCAATAATTATAAGCTATTATTATTATTATTTATTTTAGGTCTTATCCTGATGAAATCGGCCCAAAGCACTGGCCCGCCTCCCGCTTTGCCCACGTGATGAAACTGCGACAGGCGGCCCTTCGAACTGCGAGGGAGAGATGGTCAGACTACATTCTGGTAAAAATCACGTGTTTGATTTCTAGACAACTGTTATCTAGCATGTGTCCAAGTCAGTTGTCCAAAAACTAGCACCACAGAATCAATCAGAACAATCTTTTGGTCCGTCACTGCCCTGCTTTTCCATCAAGGCACAGGGGGAAATGTTGGGAATGAATATCGGGGTACCTGGATCTCATCTCAGACCCACTTCTGACGGGCATTTTCAGTAGGTAAATGAGCTCTTGAATTATTCAATCTCTTTCATATAACAGGCACAAAAAATGAATCTTTGTAGTTCATGGGGGATGCTGTAGTAAAGCAATGTGAATAGTCTGAATAACTTTTTAGAAGAATTCTGTGGGTCTGAAAAGTGAACTCTGTAATAAGATTAAATTAACCGCCCTGCAATGCCATTCCCTCTTCTCCTGAGTGAGTTGGAGAATGGCATCTCTGTCTCCACCTCTTGGTTGCTCCCCATGACGCTGGGCTATCCTGGAGGATTTCTCTCCATGAAGAGGTCCCGTCGCTTCCCTTGGAACTTTGAGAGTGGTCCAGGATGTGCGGGACTGGATACCAGGAATCAGTGTTGTGTCTCTTCCTTGTCCTCCACAAACCCATCATCACTGGAAAGGCCAGCTTCCCGAGTAGCTGCCGTTCCCATTTCCCTTTGGAATGTTGACTTTTGCCCCACAAGTTTCTGGAAACCAAGTGTTCATCTGTGTCACACTCCCCTCCCCCCAATCCATCAATTTCTCTTATTTTATTTTATTTTATTTTAATTGTTCAAGTACAGTTTTTTGTCTTTTACTCCCATCCCAGCCCACCCCCCCGTCCTCCCCATCTCCCTCCCATTTCCACCCCGCCCCATTTATTTCTCTTGACAAATATTTTCCAGCACTACACTAGAAATAATACCTATAAAGCAAAGTCGATATTTCATTAGACACATTGGCATCTCTTTGTCACTAGACTGATTCTAAAGGGAATACCTGGGATCCATGCTCGTCTCCAGCCCCCCCACCACCACACAACCCAGCCCAGTGATTTGCCGCACACACACTTTCACTGCAAATAAAGCATAGAGGCTTTTAACTTGTAGTGAGGATACTTGACATTGTATAGCTGTTTAAATATCACTGAAGTATACAAATGTTGAACCACAAAATTTTCAGTAAACAGATTGACTCTCATAAGAATGAAAGCTTCTGGCTATTTATTTTGTGTGTATGGTAAAATATACAAAAACACACAAAGAAAATTGGCCATTTTAAGCATTTTGAGTATACAGTTCAGTGTGATTATTTATTTTATACGATAGAGCATGTAGTTGTAATGTCCCTGTAAATGAATCAGCGTTAATGTGGACTTTTGCTAAGAATAGGAAATGGCTTTATTGGTTATCATGGTTGGTACAATATACTTTAAACAAAAATTCTACCTATAACATGAAAAACAGCATTGATGAATCTGTTTTGGGCCATTTTGGGCTCTATCATATAGTACCTAAATAGGCCTGTCCATTTGTACCTGGAGTGGGCACTCAAGAAGTGTTTTCTAATACACTTTGAAGGGCTTGGGAGCCATGAGTGTCTTGTAGGTTGAGTCCTGGTTGAGTGAGCGCCCAGTGTGGTAACACCAGTTCATCGCCTGGTGCCTTTTGCACGTAACAGTCAGGCTAAATGCCTTTAGTCACAACAAAAGCCGCCCAGGTGCAGTGGGTTTCCCGGATCATAGATTCCTGGCTCCAGGTCTCCTGAGCCAGCCTCTGTGATGCTCCAGGGGTGCTGGGTCACCTTGAACCTGTTACGGAAAAGGACCTCTTCCCCTGACTTTGTCTTTTTCTTTTCCTAGTTTATCGACGTTGACAACTTCCTGACTAATCCACAGACCCTCAGTCTAATGATTGCAGAAAACAAAACCATCGTGGCCCCCATGCTGGAGTCTCGGGGCCTCTACTCGAATTTCTGGTGCGGGATCACACCTCAGGCAAGTCTCCGGGTTTTCGCAAGGAGCCAGCCACGTGTCCACAGCAGCCCTACTGACCCCCTTCTCACTGCCTCCCTGGGAAGATGCCTGTCATTTCAGGGCATGCGTTTGCAGGAGAGGAGGTCAACCCAGGTCAATGCCACGAACAGTGAGCTCTTCTGTGTTCATGAATTATATATAAGTGTAAAAAATACTCTGCTGAGCTTAGCACTGGAACCTTTAAATGGATCAGCATAGCTTGCAGGGATTTGTACTTTTTCCTCCCCAATTCAGAGGTTTTAAAAAAATGTAATAGTTGAGTTGTCATTAAAACTCGCATAAGAACACTATAGGAAATTTTAAAAATGAGAAATTAAAGGAGATTATATTCATCCCCACCACTCTAGCATCATAGATAACAGCTTGCATGTTTTTAACGACTATGTCAAGTGGCTTTAATGCAATTTAATTCACCTTTCTCTTAGTTTAAAAACATTTCATTTGTTTGCAACTTTTACCTATTATAATGACCACCATGATTAATATAATTTTCCTCTGTATTTAATTCTGGGGGGTAACATCTTAGAAGTGGAATGACTGAATCAAAGAGTATAAATATTTTGATGAGCTTTGATATATGTTGTCAAATTTATTTCTAAAGAGATCCAGTAATTAGAACTACTATGGTAGCTTGTTTTTACAAATTTCGTGTTAAAAAGAGAATCCTTTTATTTCTCTCACCTCTCTTTTGCATTGTAAAAATCTTTAAAGTCTAGACATCTGTTACAGTGAATGCTTCTGGTTGTTTATATTTTTATTCTTTAGTTAATGAATTCAAAAGATAAACCAATCAATGTAGAATAAAGATGGGCTTAAGGAAAAATACATATGTTAAATGTGGGCTCATACCAAAGAGCTAGAATTTTGAGTCCCTCTTTTATATTTGGTTTGGTTTGGGGCCAAATGATAAATGTTTACTAACTGGCTGTCCGTGGGGGAAAGATCCTGATTGGTAACATTTGCCGGGTTTCATGGTGTGGGAACTCCTACCATGCAAACAGCTTAAATGTGGTTTAAGCTAACGGAAAGGTTAAGTAAACCGCAGCCTCACTACTTGAGGAGATAATTACTAAAAATATGCAAAGCTGACATCTTTGGTTCTGTTAGATGATGGGGATTGACCGGATTTTTATTTTCGCAGCTACCAGCTCGTCAACTGGTTTGCACAGTTCCTGAGAATTGAACCATCAATGGCTCTAGCATGTGACTAGCTGACCATGTCCTCTTTGGTTACAATATTTCCCGCTGTCCTACCAGATTTTTGAATGCATGTTATGATCCATGTCTCTCTGAAGGAAGCACTGATTTTGTATTTATACAAGTCATTCAGTTCTCAGTGTGAAAACGTTGTGTTAGGTTCACTGGAATGACATGCTCTTGGTTGAGAATCTGCTGGGTTTCCGCAGACAGAGCCACTCAAGGGTTGTTTTGAATGAGTTACACTTTGACACCAGCAAGGAGACTGGATGGTCACAGCCCCCGGGTTTCTATTATCTTTTTACTTGCTTTCATCATTAAAAACAAACGGGAGACATGTGCTCACTTATTCTGTACAACAAAAGCAAAAAGCTGAGCCACTTAGCGGCACTTAATTTCCCTTCCTCTCTGCCATCCCCAGTCAGCCTTCTGCCGGGGCAGCCAACGGCTTCATAAGCATAAGGAGGAGCCTTTAATCACATCCGAGACAAAACGACCCTCGGGGGTGGTGTCTGGCCAGTGAACAGGAACTGTCACCGATATTCAATTTGTGCGGGGGGATGAGGGGAGACACAATAATCACGTCTGCCGGTCTGCACGAGGCACCCCTTTTTTCCCCACTTCTTTCCTCCCTGCCCCCAGGATATTCAGTGACTCATCAACGTCATGAATTTTTTCAAGCGTCTCATTCTGAGAATGCTGTCCCTAAGTGGTCTAGAACTTGACCTTGGACATGCGTTTGTAGGCCGTCCCTTAAAGACCAATGTTCCGTTTACCCCTTGAAAGAACGTTGCTGAGTTGAACTGTTAGGAGGACTCCTGTTCTCCTAACTCAAGGATGTCGAGTGGCCCTTCATTTAAAGGCTCATAAAAATGATACTAATAATCACACTTCACATAATGAATTCCAGTTTTCAAAGTATCTTCATAGATTTCATCACATGAGATCTAGTCTTTAATCCTGTGAGAGGAAACTCAGGCTTCATCTCTTCAAGCTCAATGCAACTACTCCTTAACTGTTAAGGAGCTGAAATTGCATTCGGCCCTTTGAAGGCAACTGTGAGGCTGATGTGGCCCCCCCAGGAAAATGAGTTTGACACCCCTGATCCAAGATGGTTAAAATGACTCTGAGCCTCCCATCTCGGTCTTAAGGTGCACTGACCTGGCCACGTGGTCACTAGCTCAGCCTGAGCGCTCGTCTAGACACTGAGGGGACTGTCAGAGAAGTCGGAGAGGCTGAGATGCCGAATGTGTGGACATGACAACAAAAGATGTGACCACAGAGTAAGGGGACTGCTTGTCCCATGTGCTTGCCCAGAAGGAACTTTCCAGAGGGGAATCCCCAAAAATCGTGGCGCAGTGACACCTCCCCCGGAATGTTGAATAAATAAATTCATGGGATGAAGACCCCATTTCTGTGTGGAAGTACTGCACATTTAGTTCATTGTATTAACAATGCAACGTGATCATTTTAATAATAGTCAATACCAGTTGGTGCTTTCTCAGTGATGGCACTGCTCTGAGCTCTGAGGTTTTAAGCCAACCCGTGGGTAGATGGGGCCATCACTTCTGTTTTACGGACGAGGACCTAGGTTGCATAATCTGACCAATCCTTAAAGACAAAAAGTAGCCGAGGTGTCCTTTGAACTCTGGCAGGCCAAAGTCATAAGCCAAGATAAAAAGCGTGCAGGGGATTTGGCTCAGGGACTTTTATGTGACTGGTGATGACCTAGGAGGTGTCAGCTAGCAGAAGACTGTGGAAGATGCAGTGCTGAGATCGGAGATCATAGTCCGCCTGCTTGCTCTTTTTCAGGGTTTCTATAAACGGACCCCGGACTACGTTCAGATCAGAGAATGGAAGAGGACAGGCTGCTTCCCCGTCCCCATGGTGCACTCGACCTTCCTCATTGACCTCAGGAAGGAAGCCTCCGACAAACTGGTGTTCCATCCCCCGCACCAGGACTACGCCTGGACCTTCGATGACATCATCGTCTTCGCCTTCTCCAGCAGGCAAGCAGGTACTGTCAGTGTTCGGTGGCCACACCCCCACGGAAATACCGCAAATAAACAGCTTCTTCATTTTGTGCCTGTTCTTAAAAACACTGCTATATATGGACATTGGGCCTCCTCTATAGATCATGGTAGAGGCAATTAATTGTCACAGTAACCACACCAGCACCCTCTGTGCTGCTGTCCCCATGCGTGCCAATGAGCAAAAGCCCTTACCCAGAATCCTCTCTCTTTTTCCTGAGCTATGGTGGGGGTGGGAGCCACAGGCAGGCGATTGGTTCTCTCTGGTGCTACTGCATTTCTTTGTTCATTACAGGAGTCCTTTTATTAATTAGAGACTGTGGCACAGACCCATAATGACACTGGCAAAGACCCCAGACTTTAGAAATGGAAGATTGTTTCTTCTCAGAGAAGTCTGAGCTGGTATCATGGCTCCAGTCCACACATTTTCCCCTGAAATGCGGGAAATAGAGGGACCCAGACTCCTCTATTGCTTCTGCACCCTCCATGAGGCATTGACCTTAACCGTATGATCAGAGATGTCTCATCAGGAGGGGTGCATTCCAGCCATCGAGTGAGCACCAGAGAGGGGACAGCCCTCGCTCCCCCTTGAAGGGTACACTCCATAAGAGGAACACATCACTCCTCTGCGTATCCCATTAGCCAGAACTTAGTCACAGGACGACACCTAGGGAGGTTCTGAGCGTCGCCCGTGCAGTCCAGAGCCCCGATTCCCTCACTCAGAAGAAGGAGAGGGTAAGTTCAGGAGTCATCCATCAGCGTCCGCCACAGTCCCCATGGCAGGTCAGGCAAAGCCAGACCGAAGTCTTTCATGCGGCACTAGGGAAGCATTTCCAGTGGCGTGTGTTAAGTTTTTAAAAGAAGACCAGTCAGTAGGAATGTAAGTTATTTCTCCCGGGTGGCCAGCACATGCCATCAGGGAGGACATAACTCACCGAAGCAGTTCAGCAGGGAGATACACGGCATTCCTAAAACAACATTGTCTTCTCAGGGTCACTGAGACCTTCCTGATGGAAGCCAGGTCCCATTATCCACGAGCCAGAAATGGGCCGCTTCACCACCAGCAAGAGTGAGCTTAGAAACCAGGGGGGTGGTGAATAGACTCACCGTGGCCATGTAAACCATGGATCTTGGCTGGGAGCGCGCCAAGACCCCAGTCAGCTGAGCCAGGTTGCAGGCAGGTGAGAAAGTGAATGAATACAAGTGGAAGCTGCAGCTCGTTCACTGGGCCGTTCTGGAAACCAAGGTGTCTCTCTCCTCAGCTGTAGACTCAGCAGGAATGAGGATATTTGGTGGAAATGTGGAAGGCTGGTTTCTTTTCCCCTTGGCTGCTAGGGTCATCGAGACCCTTTGGCCAGAGGTCAGCATTTTTCGGCCTGTGTCAGGGCTAAAGCAAGCCCCTTAGTCTCCTGGGGATCGGAATTTTTCTTGCAGATTCTTGTGTCCGCGTTAGTGCAACCCGCTCCCTTCAGCTTGGCCTGTAATTTGTCCTGACCGCTCCCGGAGGAGAAGCAGACGCAGGGCCTTCTGGTTCCTTCCATCGGTGCCAGGCCCTCTGCTGCAGAGCTTGCAGGAGGCTGTTCCAGGGGAGTCAATGAGAAACAGTGACAGTCACGGTCCTTGCCCAACAGGGTCCCCTTTGCAGCCATCGCACAAGGCACTGGGTGACCCCTGCACTAAATTACGACAATAAATTCTTTTCAACCGAGAACTGGGTTTGTGGCTTAATCACAGACACAGGCTGGGAAGGAATTTTTCAGCTCTTCCCTGTGCTTGTCCTGTTCCCTTGGCCTTTGTTCCTTATCGGTCTGACTTCCCAAGGGCCCTCCCGGGACATTGAAAGTAGGCGCAGAGGCCCGAAGCTGTTTGGTGATTCAGCTGGGGTAGCGGGGGGAAAGAGAGGTAGAAAAGGGAGGCGAGAGGGCCGGGGCCCTAGGCTTCCCTCTTGTGCCTGGCAGCGTGTGTGGAGAGGTCAGACCTTTCCCTGTGGAAATACAAGTGTCACGCTATGAAACAGTGGAAGCCGAGAGTCAGATGGGCGGTGCAAACAGAACGGGCCAGGAGTCCGGACGGGAAAGCAGGACTGTCATTGGCAGAAACGGGGCAGCCTTCCTGACGTCATGGGGTCCCAAGGTAGCACTTTCACTGGTCTTGAAGTATCGATGTTTTCAGAAGAGACATGAGCACAGCCCATGGGGTATTTCTAGGCAGATGATGTGTGTTTGTTTGTCCTTACTCTTGGGATGCTTCCTGGCTGGGATGCATCCAATGGAGTATCAATTTTTAACCATCAAAAAAGAAATAAAGGGTCTCCATGCCCCAGGCAGGACCATCTACTCACAAATCTTGATCCTTATTGTTTAACCTCGGACCCCAAGCATGGCCACCTGTGGGTGATGCACGACAGGGTCAATCCACACATGCACTGGAGCACTGGTGGTGTGGCCACCCATCTAGCCCAAAAAAGAGCAGGGTCACAGGCGAGTGTCTGTGGCCATAATGAGAGCAGGGTCAGGAGTTCACCTCCCATAGTGGCCAGTGGCCTTGGCTTTGTATCACGGCCACAAGAACCATCCCTGGCGCCAGCCGGTCATCTTCCAGTAAGTCCAAAGAGGCAAAAGATATGGGTGATGCCGGGCAGACCTTCCTCCTGCACATCACTGGTAGTGATCAAAAGTACGTCCCCAACTCAGGGGACAGTGCAGAGAGATTGCTCGTTCTAAGACCCAGCTCCCAAATTCTGGTGGGTAGAAAGCTTCTTGGCATTGAACCATAGGGACAGAGCCCTTGGCACTACTGACTTACTGTATGACCAGGGACCACAGCCTCTCTGAGTCTGAGTTTTCATCACCAACGTTAAGCCACTATGTGAGGACAAGAAAGTGACTGAGGTCTTCATGAGGTAAGAATAGCTCTGCCACCATTCAACACACTTTCTCAAAGAGAAATTTGTTTTCCCAGAAGTAGCAGCTTTCAATGAGAGCACCAGCCTCCTTCCCAGGCTTTGTCCAGCTATCAACACATTTCCTCTTAAAAATGTTCTTTTTTTGTCCTGGCTGGTGTGGCTCAGTGGTTTGAGCACCAGCCTGCAAACCAAAGGGTCTCTGGTTCGATTCCCAGTCAGAGCACATGCCTGGGTTTCAGGCAAGGTCACCAGTAGGGGGCGTGTGAGAGGCAACCACACATTGATGTCTCTCTCCCTCTCTTTCTCCCTCCCTGCCCCTCTCTCTAAAAATAAATAAATAAATAACCTAAAATAAAAATCATGTTTTCATCAAATTATCCATGCACCTAGTTGGAAGAGTTCAAAGAGTCCCCAAGGTTTATTATAAAATTCGAAGTCCCCTCCATGTCTCCCCTGTGCCCTTTCCCTCCTTCTAGAAGACACGCTTGTAACTCCTCCCAAGGGGGGTGCAAGCATATTTGCACCTGTGGGTCTAAATAACATGCTGGTATCACTACTTCTTTTTTTATTTATCTTTAGAGGGGGAGGGAAGGACAGAGGAGAGAAATATCAATGTATGGTTGCCTCTTGTGGGTCCCCTGCTGGGAACTGGCCTGCGACCCAGGCATGTGCCCTGACTGGGAATCAAACCGAGATCCGCTGGTTTGCAGGCCCGAGCTCAATCCACTGAGCTACACCAGCCAGGGCTGGTATCATTACTTCTTGATGTTCTGGTTTTACCATGGGAATGACCAGCTGACCATCCTCTGCAGATGAGGAGTCCGTACGCTCTCCTCCCTTTGGCCCTCTTCCCACACCCCTGTCCTCTCCATGGAGTTACATGGTGATTTAGCATGGTCAGCATTTTCGATACGGTAAGTACCTGGACCTAATTCTAAACCGGGCCATTTATAGACTCTGCTTAGTTTTCCTTTTGTATATAATTTAACATTTGCCTTGGGGGGGGGGTCTCAGTTTTATTATTACTAATAGAATCCAAAACTAATTCCTCATTGTCTAAAACTCCTCTTAGCATGGTCAGATTTTAGTTTATATATAGCTAAGTATATCTGCATCCATTTCTTTTTTTTTTTGTTCACAGTTTACATGCAATATTATTTTGTATTGGTTTCAGGTGTAGAGCATGGTGGTTAGGTAATCACATACTTTACAGAGTGTTCCCTCCAATATTTCCAGTGCCCACCTGGCATCATGCACAGTATGACATGCATGTTACAGTTGTATTGCCTATGCTGTACTTTACATCCCTTATGACTATTTGTAATGATCAGTTTGTGTCTTAATCCCTTCACCTTTTGCATCCAGTCCCCAGTCCTCTTCCCCTGCCAACCTCTGAGCTGCTCCCTGTGTCTGTGAGTCTGTTTCTATTTTGGTTGCTCGTTTATTTTGTTCTTTGGATTCCGCATATAAGTGAGATCATTTGGCATTTGTTTTTCTCTGACTGACTTACTTAGGTCCACCCATGCTGTGACAGATGGTAACATTCCACTATTTTTTATGGCCAAGTAGTGTTCCACTGTGTAAATGTGCCTCGGCTTTTTACTCACTTGTCTGTTGACGGACACTTGAGCTTGACTATCGTAAATAACACTGCAATGAACATAGGGGTGCCCATACCCTTTCAAACTAGTGTTTGGGGTTTGGGGAAGGTCAGATTAGCCAGCGGTTCTTTTTGTATGTTTGTGATGGCATCTGCCCTCAAGCCTCTGACATCCTCTCACCTTCTCGGTGTCACAGCCGCCAACCTGGGACCTCCTTTCTTCTCTTCTTCACCGACTGTCCATATCGCTGTGTGTCCCCAGTTGTCCTTGCTGTTTGTAACCCTCCTCCTTCTCCTCCTTCCCCTTCCTCTTCTTCCACATCGTCCAGTAATCTGATGAGACAGAGGGATGGCAAGTAAATATTGATGACCTTGCACGTCTGGACATGCCTCTCTCGCCCCCTCACTTGATGGACAGCTTGGCTAGGCCTCATTCCTCTTTCTACTGAAGCTTTGGAAAGTGACATGGTAATGGGACAGGCCTAATTAGGGTACAGAGGCAACCTCAGTGTGAAATCACTTTCCTTCTCCCTCCTGAATTCGTTGTCAGGGGAGCTTTTGGTATGAAGCTTCACAGAAGCATTTATGTGGGCAGACAGCAGAGCCCGTGAGTTCACTTGGTGAAGCCAGGGAAGTGACAGCGATCGGTGAACCAGCCTTGACTCCGCCAGAGTCAGCACAGGGGGAAATAAGAGCTCTTTTCTCTCTGGTTCCTCTGCATTAATGCCGTGGGGCAGCTTCACCTGACTTGGCAGATGACGTAGCTGACGGGAGGAAATCTCGTTTGCACGGCACACAGAGAAGGCTCTATGCAGGTAATTCTGTCTCCCCAAAGTGCAGATGATTGCGGTATATCGACAAACAAATTGGAAGTGTGTACACGTGGACCGGAGCTTGGCAGAGTCGTGCTCTTAATTATGCAGTTTTGTCATTAGTCAGGACTGTCTGCTGCTGGGTCTCTGTGAGGCCACCTTGATCTCTGCATTCCCAGCTGTCCAGCTGAGCGCAGATGCTGCCATATAACCCAGAGTCCGCCGGCTGGGCTGGGAAGACCAGGATTGAATACGAGAGGACTGTGGCACATTTCTGGCAGGTCTTTCACTGGACCTGAAACACAGACTTTCTTTTGTTCACTTACGAATCTGTTACAGAAGTTGCACGTCCATCGGATGACTCCAAATCCGAGCTTGCTAGGAGAAGAAGTAAAACCGAAAAGAGTCATGGGGAATTTAAATTTCCTTGCTTTTTACTTTATTTTTTTGTCCTACAGATGCCTTGATTCAGCTTTAATAATCTATCAGCCTGTTTGCTTTCATATCAAATATGGATTTTATTCCTCATTCTCATGATTTCCTGTAGATGGATTACAGTGTTCCATTCTAGCCTCTGGAACAGGAAGTCCTTGCCTCCCTTTTGATCACTTCATGCCTTTTGTGTTCATTTCAGACCACAAGTATGCTTCTTCTTTAGGGAGAAAAAAATCAATTTCCTCTGAGCCGAAGCGTGGCCTGGGCTTTTTATTAGACCCCAATGCTCTGTTATACTTTCTTAATAAAGGAGCACTCCAGACAGTGCCTGGAACGGCTGGTAGTTCAGTGTCAGTGCCAAACCCAGCATCACCTACAGTCCCATCTCTTTTTCCACTATCAAACTAAGAAGTGTGTGTTTCTGATCAGTTGGCTTTGTCCCTCTGTTGGGTCCCCAGGCATCCAGATGTACCTCTGCAACCGCGAGCACTACGGCTACCTGCCCATCCCCCTGAAGCCCCACCAGACCCTGCAGGACGACATCGAGAGCCTCATCCACGTACAGATAGAAGCCATGAGTGAGTGACCCAGGAGCCTGTGCTGGCACTGGTTCCACGGCCATGGTGGCCGCCCCCGGCACTTCTCTCCCCTTGCCCGGGACTGGGATCACACAGCCACCAGTCCGTCTCGGCTGCAGCGTGGATAGTCATTCGTTCCTTTGTTCTTGAGCTTTTCCTAATGTGAAATGTGAATATGATGAAGTCTGTGCCCTCAGGGAGCACCCCATCCAGGTGGAGAGCTGGGTGCACAGTAAAGCATTTCACACCATCACAAGGAAGGGCTGTAGCAGTGCATCGAGGTGGGATTTAAACTCAAACTTTGCTGCTTTTCACTTAGATGACTTTGGGCAGGTAATTTGACCTCTTTACTCATGCAGTGGAGATGATGAAAACCTGTAGAGTTTGGGGGAAGACCCTCCACAATATATACAAAACATCTAATAACAACACCAATAATTATGACTTCAACTTAATAACAGCTTATGATGTATCATGCTCATCAGTTTTGTACATTGTCTTTTAATCCTTACAACATATCAATGAAAGTTAGAATGTGAGGCAGAGAGAGTTTAAATAACTTGCACCAGGTCATTCTGCTAAACCAATGACCAATGGGTTACGAACCAGTCTTGCTGTATCCCAAACTCACGTCCTTCAACACTGTGTCGATATTGCCTGCAGGTCTAGGTTGAGGTCAGGGTTGGTGAGTGCTCGGTAATCAGTAGCCACACTAATGATCATGTGTAATGTACCGGTGGCTAAAGGAGGAAGTCACAGATCCCCTCCACCCGGGGACAGAGGTCGGAGATGGCTTTCCCCGGGAGGGAAGATTGGCACCCAATTTCTCATGCAGGATCTAAGAGTCATTTACTCATCACAGAGCTTAGAATGTGTGTCTGTGGGCAGCAGGCCGGCAGTGAGCCCAGCCAGCAGGACCTCGAAAATGTAAAGAGGTGTTCAGAAGGGAGGGCAGCATCGAAGGGAAGGTTGGCGGTAAAGGTCAGGTTGGAGTCTGGATTTTGGACAGTCAGTTTTGGGGACGTAAAACCGTGGCTGGAGCTGGGCAGGGCAGTGAATGCTGGGTTTGGGCACTTTAGAGATGGCATCTTAATGTAATTCTTGTATTTTCCTTCTCTAGTTAGAGTCTTGTTAAAATCTCAGATTCTGAGTTTCAGAAGATAGAACATAACTGGAATAAGAAAATAATTGGAAAGTAAACCTTTGAGCATAATAAGGTAGAAATATGGGCTGGAGGCCCGTGGAGGACTCACAGAAGTGTGCTGTGATGGAATCATACCTGTCGAGTGTCCCCGGGCAGGGTGCGCTGGATGTTAAAAGCGCTCTGCACGACCTCTGGACCCCAACGGCCGTAAACAAATAGCTGCTAATGGCCGATGCCAAGGGCAGCGTAGCACAGGTGTCATATTCCTGTGCAAACGCCAAATGCCTCCCTCCAATGGATGAGTCGCTCCTGACGGTGCTGGGGGTTTGAAACATTTTATAACCGATTCTCTGTTTCGGGTGTTTCCATTTCACTGGGGAGACAAGACAGATGTGAAAAGACTTCTGTGATGTAGCAGTTTGTGAGAGGAACAGATGTTCGGTCTGAGGGCAATGGGAGTTTGGAACAGGGAGAGGCTTCTGGGAGCTGGGGTGGTCCAAGAGAGCATTGTCTCCTGGTGGTTCCTGCACTGAGCCTTGACAGCAGCGTGGGCTTTGAACAAAAGGAGCAATACGCTGAGGGCACCATAGGCAGGGAATGCGCACTGAGCGAAGACATTGATCCCAAAGCATTCTCCCCCTGGAGGAGAGTTGGCTTTAAACAGCAGAAGGAAGTAAAGTTTGAGGGCTGGGATGGCTCCCCTGTCGTGATCCTTGAATGCCCAGCCTGGAGCAGAACGTTCCTCCTCAAAGCAGTGAGAAGCCAAGGAAGGTTTAAGAAGAGAGAATTGGGCTATAAGTATTTATTAACCACTTACTATGTTCCAAGGATTATTCAAGAGGCTGGGGATGCAGCCGTGAACAAAACTGCCACAGAGAAGCTCCCACAGAGAAGTAGACAATATGTCCAGGAATCAGCCACATGAAAGAATATTTTGGATAGAGTGTTTCAAAGGAAACCAGAGCCCACGCAAAGGCCATTGGGAAAGAGCCTGGGTGCTCCAGGAACAGAAGGGCAGCGAGGTTAGAGTACACGGGACAAGGACTGGAGTAGTAGGAGATGAGGTCGTGGAGGGGGCAGTGTCCAGATCAGGCCGAGTTTTGTGGTCACAGTAAGGAGTTTGGGTTTTAATCTAAGAGTAACAGAATTCCATGCGGAGCAGGAACGGGGAGTGGTACGATGTGATTGGTGCCTTCAGAAAGATTTCTCAGACTGTGGCACAGACACTACAGTTAGGGGGCCAGTATATCCGTCTGTCTTGGTTGAGAGATGATGGGGTTTCGGATGCAAGCTGTAGCAGGGCGGTGGTGGGAAGTAGATTTCGGGTATGTTTTTGTGTTAGAGCCAGCAGGGCTTATAGCGGATTGGATGCAGCCCATGAGGACAGAAAGGAATCAAGGATGAGTCCAGGATTTTGGCCTGGCCTGCCATTTAATGAAGTGGGAAAGCCTTCGTGGGAAAAGATTCCGGGAGAGATGTTTCGGTGATGTAAGTTGCTGATATTTGTTGAACATCTGAATGGAAAGATTAGGAGATACTTGGCTCTATGAGTCTGAAGTGCAGGGAGAGACTCCAGCTGGAGACAGACATTTGAGAGTCATTAACATTAAAAGGATATTTGAAGACATGGAACAGCATGAACTTGTTTAGTAACAGAACAGCGAAAGGGGAGAGGAAAGGGAGGGCAGGTCTCCGGGGAAGACAAACAGCCAGAGAGCTGAAAGGAAAAACTGAGAAGTGTTCAGGAAGGGGCCAGATGCTGCGGAGAAGTAAAGTGAGGGCAGGGAACTGATCTTCTGTGCTGTCAAGATAGAGCTCTGTGATGTCCTTGCTAAGAGCCAGTTCAGTGCAGTGATGGGGACATGGCCCATTGGTGTGGGCCGAAGAGAGGACCGTGGGGAGATGAGGAAACAGAATCTTGTTGGGATGGAGAATGGAGGAGGAGGATGGTGGCTGGAAGGCAGTGAGATATCAAGGGAGAGGTTTTGTTTTTTGTGTTGTTTATTTTTAAGATAGGATTGTAGCGTGTTTGTATGCTAACAGAAGGATCCAACATATAAGGAGAACTTGTCAATGATGGAGAGGAGAAGAAGATGATTGTAAAGGTGAAGTCCTTGAGAAAATAAGAGGCAGAACAACAAGAGAGGACAAGCGATGTGCAGAAGTCAGAACGAGTGGGGACAGATGCACCTGGGTTTGCAAACGTGAGGTCGAAGGAAAAGCCGGTCTGATGTGACTTTGCATATTTTCTCTGTGACATGTGTAGTCCAGTTGTCAGCTTGAGAGACACATTGGAAATTTCAGGAGAGAGGAAAGGGCACAAAATAGATCTCTCAGTGAATAGGAAAGTAAATTGATGATGGAAGTACACAGTTGCATCATTTGGCGGTGTGGAGTGCCAATTTGACATCTGTGGTTAGAGTTTTGCAATGACTCGGTCAAAACAACTGTGTGAATTTCTCTTGTGTTATTTTTCTTGGTGCTGAGTAAGTGGACAATAGAGTTTAACCAGGATTGGGGTTTGACCCCCGAGATCAATGGAAGGGACTCAGGGGTCTTTACAAGGACTGGTCAGTGTGCTAGACCACCAGGGGTTGGGTAATAATGGAAGCAAAGGCATGAAGGGTGTGATGGGCGCAGGCATGGCGGTGGGTCACTGAAAGAACGACTGTTGGTGCCGAGGTCCAGGACCTGGAAGCTGATAGGCTGTCAGATGGATCACCACGTGGATGCAGAGGTTTCTAAGGATGACGGCCAGGTAGAGTGAGACCGTGAGCCAGAGGCCAGGCTATAGTCATCAGTAGTTGAAGGGGCCTGAGGAGGAGGTGGGAAAATATGCTTCAAGATGCTGGGGATTTTGAAGGATGAAGGAGAAACAGTTTGGAGTGAGGTCGGGAGTATGAGAAAAATCAGCTGGACTGGTATGTGCTGTGCTGGATGGCGGGTGCTCCAGTGGAGACTGCAGAGAGAGCAGTAAGCGATGGTCACGCAGGAGCAAGGACTTAGCTCACTGAGTTCTCCTATGAACCCAGACCCGTTGCCCAAGGCCAACTTGACTCCAGTGACTACCGAGGACTAGCTTGGGGGCAGGGTAGGACTTTGGGGTTAAGGGTACAGTTGCAGGAGTCAGGCCTAGACTCGAACATCAGTTCTATCAGCTCTCTGACCTTGGGCGAGTTATTCAAGCCTTTGTTTCCTCCTCTGTAAAACTAAGGACAGTTGAACCTCTCCTATGGTATATGTCGTGAAGATTAAATAAATGTCGTTAAGTATGTTAAGAGAGAAGCCCAGAGTTCAGTGAGTAATAACAACTCTATAAAATAGCTATTATTCCTAGATCTTGAAACTGTGCAGGAGCCAGTGAAACACATGGCACCAAATTGTGGTACAGAGAAGGAATCTGTATCCGGAGGGACCTGATGAGGGACTGGATACACTACAAGTAACAGTCAGAAATGACCCTGAATGGGAGCTAGGGCATACCTAACCTTCAGGTCTGACGTCAGCAAAGACACCTCCCTTCTCCCCACTTAGCTAGTTTCTTGGGTTGAATTCATCGTTCCTGTTTTTGCCTATGGCTTAGCTCTCTGCCGTCAGTGGCAAAACCCAGGGGTATTGCTCAGAGTTTTGCTCAATGGTGGTTTTCTGAAGCCAGACACCTTGGGCTATTTTGGACACTTCTCCTCAGAACACAATGTCCACCCATGTTGGATGGAAGCAAAGTGGTTAAAAGCAGTCTTTTTGGCTGAAATCGTAAAGCCACACAAACCTTGTGAGTGCCAAACAGAGACCAAGAGTGTGGAAAGGGTAACTCAGAAAATAACCCCCTCCCAAGCCTAAGGCCCAGAGAGCGGGACCAGACAGTTCTTCAAACACCAGTGTGAACGGGGACTTTGTATGTTAAGTCTCTTCCTCTAAAATCCTAACTCTGTACATGGCGGACCCTCTATAAATATTTGTTGACTCTAAAAGAAACTAATGAGGGGTAGAATGGAAAGGACCAAAACGTTCTGAGCTGCTAATGAAACAGAACGCGTGCCCTGTGTGCACACGCAAATGGGACGGTGAGCATCAGGGTTGAAGTAATGAAGCCAGCCCTTGTGTTTGGCTTAGGAAACCTACCTCACGATCTTCTAGAACTTGACTTGATTAGAAGCGAAGCTGGATGTCCTGCTTTCTCTGTAACATCCGGTGAAGGCCCTGGCCCCGTGGCTCAGTTAGTTGGAGTGTTGTCCTGATGCCCCAGGGTTGTAGGTCCAGTCCTGGGTCCGGACACATGTAGGAGACAGTCAGTGGGTGCATGAATGAATGGGACAACAAGTCAATGTTTCTCTCAAATCATTAAATAAAAAAGATTTCAATACTAAGCTTTAAAAAAAGTCCCAGTGGAGGGTAAGTCATTTAAAAATGCCTTTTGGACAGTACCTCAGTCAGGATGAGCCACGTCGGGCTGGTGTGTATCGCACAGGGCCAAGGCCTCCTTGGCTTAACATGATGCTGGCCTGGTTCTGGCTGTGCAAAGTCTGCCGCGGTCCGATGTCCTTCTGGGCGGCTGCCCCCCACAGGTTGGCACATCGTTCTGGGCTGCTTCCTGCTGGTGGCTTCTCCCTGTCAACATGCTGCTCAGATCACTGTGGCGGGCCTGGCTGGGGACGGAAGAAGGGTTTGGAGAGTAACGCGGAGGGAAGTCACGTGGCCATGACAAACTTCAAGGGTGAGGAGCTGAATTCCTCTCGTGGACCCAGAATAGAGGAAAGTAGATGCTGGTGAACACGGGTGGTGGCCGTCACCCACAGTTCTTCAAACAGCATTCTCACTAGCTTTCATTTTACACGTTCTTTGTATTATCTTTTTAAAAAAAAAAAACCAAATGAGTACTTTGTGTGCAATAACCAAGAAATCTTCAAGACCTTCTCAAGTTTTTAAATCAACTTGGCTCTCAACCTTTAGAACATGTATTTTGTCAAGATAGGTTTTTTTTTTTAGAGTATCAAATAAATAAAACTTTTACTAAGATGTGATGTCCCCTCCATCTGGAAGTGTCCTTGTTAGGCCTGTTCCACGTTCTGGGATGTGGGCTGGACCTCAGAGCTGAGTCTGTGTGAGGATAAAGGACCTTTTGTGTACCTGTAGTGAGTCCTGCCTGGCCAGGATAAAAATAGTCCTAGACTTTGACCAGCGTGACTGTATAGAAAAGGCGTTATTCCGAGAAAGTCTGGCCTGTGTTTGAGCTCTTCCATGATGGGCTGCAGTAAGTCCTAGCCGAGAGTTATGAGCAGTTATTAGGCTAATAACTACTATAGGCTATTAGGCTATAACACTTTACAGCATCCAAAAAGATACACTTTTATTATCCCTACTTTACACACGGAGAAAGGGGCCTAGAGAAGTCACCTGGCTGTTCCAGACATTCAGAGACTGAGGCCAGGTCACTGCAGAGCCCTCACCCCCCCTGAATACCAGCCAAAGACCCCCCTAAATACCGGCCAAATGCTCTGACAATAAGTCTGAATGGAAATGGAGCAAATGCTGCAATCTGCCGATGAACAAACGCTCTCAAAACCAGCGCCCTGGCCATCAGGGTCCTCATGCGGCCACCCAGTCCTGGACAGGTGCTGAGCGGAGCCCCAGCCCGGCATCCCCGGGGCTGTGTTCCCAGGGATCTGCCGTGTAGGTGGAATGCTGTTCTCCGCCGTTCACTCACAAAGCACTGCGCATGTTTCTTGTGTCTTCCAGTTGACCGCCCTCCGATGGAACCCTCCCAGTTTGTCTCAGTTGTCCCTAAGTATCCAGACAAGATGGGATTCGATGAGGTAGGAGAGGAGTCTGCGTGTGTGTGCTTGGCACGTATGTGCAGGCATGTGTAAAGCATGCTTCCATGTTTATACCGAAACACAAGACGAGCATACGTCGGAGAGCCCCCTGGCCTGGGTTGGCTGCTGGAAAGGCACTGAGGTCTTGGGGGAAATGACTTGGTCTTTGTTGTACTTCAGTTTTCTTCTCGGAAAAAAAGGATCATCATGGGGAGAGTGACTGACTCATTGGGTCACAAAGAAGTTACTGTTTAGTAGTGAAAACAAATTTGATATTTTTCTAAAATAGTGCCACCTTTTATCACCCTTTTTACTCAGATTGAAGGGGAAGGGGACATACGGATTAGGTGTCAGAGGACTTTAACTTTCCTTGGAGTGGGTGGGGACTGTTCTGGAACTCTCTCCCGCTTTATTTTCTCTGCTGCTCTTCCACAGAGGAAGGTTAGAGGGTAAGGTTGAGAGGACAAAGCAAAAGAGAACAAGAAACTGTCCTAAAATTCTACTGTCCGACAGGTGAAATCTTCCTAATAGCTCTCTGAGGGCCGTGTTTATTGTTAAGTTTCAACCGTATAAATGATGAAGCAGAGATACACAGAGATGCCTCCCTTGGTAATACGCCCAACATATGTGATACCTGGTAGAGCAAGACAGGTGACTCCTTCCCGGTCCTTTGTGTTATGTGGCTGCTGACAAGGGTCAGGAACTGGGTGGTGCAGAGGTGAAGGCTGTGTATCACGAATCCACACGCTGAGAATTTTTCATGGATCCTGGGTATGTTACAGGCCAAGCTTGATGCTCTGTGCTCATTCCCGCGGCTCCACTGAGAGGAAATTCCTTACTGATCACCCTTGTGCCGTACAACGCACGTTCCCAATCCCCAAATAAATGGGGCAAAACCAGGATCTTCAGTTTGGACGTGGGTGTGACGACTGGGTCACTCCTGGAAGCCTTCTGAAAAATGCCAACTTTTGCAAGTGGTGCAGGCTCAGCGACTCACCTGAGCTCGGGGTCATCACTTCTCTGTCCCGAACAGAGATAGGGTGGTGGGAAAAAAAGTTTTCCTGGGCCTTTCCAATGCTCCCAGTACTTGACCTTGGCGGCCGTGTCTCGTTGCACTTGGCTGTGTGGCTCTTTCCTCTGTTTACCGTTCCCTAAGTATGAGCAAGCTGTCTGTGTTTTTCCTTCGTGGCTACAGTTTTTATTGCACTTGTCCTGGTAGAAACTGGGGCAGGATTGTAATTTCCCCCAAGTCATCCCAGGCGAGAGGTCTCTGGTCTGAGAGGACACTTTTGTTTATTTCTGTAAACTTTTTGTTTTGGCTAAGTTTTGCTCTCCTGGAGCGGCCCCGGGCAGCTCCTTGTGCACCCATGAGTGATGCCCTTCCCACAGCTGTCAAAGTGGGGGCTGGAACACGGGCCCTCACCGTCCAATTCTGCACAGGAAGAAAATGAAACATAAAAGAACACTACCTTTGAAGCTGTAAAATCCCAAGTCACCAGGCAAATGGTCGCCATGGAAATTATGTTTTCAAAAAATAACGCTCCTAACTCACTTTGCCCCAAGTCCAGTGAATGGTTCTTTAAGAAGACACCTGGCTCTGCCCTCAATTTCTTTGCCCAGAGCTTTAGAAATGGATGGAAGGGAGATTGTTTTGTGAGGAAGCATTAAAATTTTAGCTAGTGGAGCTTTTTATCTCAGTAAATCATATACTATATCAGTAAGCGCACTCAGAATGACCCTATACTACAAAGTTTCACCCAGCCTAGTCTGCACTCCAGCCTGGGTGTAAGATAGCTACCTCCTCATTCTAGACATAGCATAAAGCAGCTCTGTCATAAACCACGGATCGCAGGAGTTTTCACCTGTACTGGGCTTGAGAGAGGCGTCTGTTCAACTCCCTTGTTTTAGAAACAAGGTCTGGACCCCATAACATTAAATGTCTTCCTAAATGTCGCCTAGATGGTTCGTCGGGAGGAAGCCAGCGCCCTCTGACTTATTCCCGCAGGTTTCTCCTTTTCCACACTACTTGCTGACATTCCTTCCTGGCTGCTGAAGTCTTCTTCAACTCAGAGAACTAGTTTAACATCCAAAGTTTTTACCGCTCGTAACAAAGAGACCTAATTAGAATACTAATTTACCTGGAAGGGCATTCACGAGACTTTAGGTTCTGTGGCTCCTGAAGCCTGGGGATAGTCAGGGCAGCCTCATTATCTGTAACTTCCTGTCGTGGTTTCGTGACATGCATTCGTTCAGTGCGACCCGCAGGGCTGTGGGGACGGAAGTGGGTGCACCGGTGGGCCCAGCCCTCATGGGAGGGGGTTCTGAATGCACCTTCTCTGGGACCCGCAGGTGTCCTCTCTATGGCTTTTCCTACTGACCTGCATGGAAATTAAGGAGCTCACTGAGGCCTTCACTTAAGCCTTTCCATTTCTCCCCTCTCTGTTCCTCAATGGGCCACCCGCAAGGCCGCGGCCTCTTCCCTTTACTTTTTTCAGAAAAATTTCCTTGTCTTGAAGTGAGTTAAATTTCGACACAGACGCTACTAAAATGGCCTTGACCTTGATCATTCAGTGTGGAACCTTTGGAAATAAAAGGAATGTGTTCAGACTACATTCTTCTTATTCTTCGAATGACTTCCAATGTATTGTCAGGGGATATACATTATAACAGTAGCTGGTATTTAGTGCCCATGAGGCAGGGCCATGATTATTCCAGTTTTACAAAGGAGGAAACTGAGGCAGAGGATCAGGTCCAAGGCAAACTAGTGAATGACAGTCAGGAGGGGAACTCGGATCTGCTGATAAATGGAACCAGTTGACAAGCTGCCTCCTACCCCTTAGTGCTAGTGTCTGCATTTAGATCACCGCAAGCCTCCTACTAGTAATCTTTCAACTTTTCTGTCTCAAAGCAAAGCAAACACCTGCTCATCAACAAGCACAGGGAAAATGAGAGGGTTAAGTCACTGCAAACAGCTCAGATTTCAGACCGATTCCGTTTGGATTCCTGTCAGGTGACTTGATAAGAAATATAAACAAACCTTCAGCACAGTTTCCCGGTTGTTTCCACTCCTTATCCTAAGACTCTCCCACGTGGGCCCTGCGTGAACTTAAACTCTCCAAGAGCCTAACAGAAGGCTTGAGTGATGTGCTTTCTTTCCTTTTTCTTCCCGTGTTAGATTTTCATGATAAACCTCAAACGCAGAAAGGACAGGAGGGACCGGATGCTGCGCACCCTGTACGAGCAGGAGATTGAGGTCAAGATTGTGGAGGCCGTGGATGGAAAGTGAGTTCAGTTTCTTCTCGATTCTTTGCAGACAGAGCTGCAGTGGGGATGTGCCCCATCTGATGGAATCGTTCGGGCGGGGGCAGGGCAGGTAGCACGGATCTGCAGTCGTTATAGACATGTTTTCATAACAGCCACAGGCCTGCCGGGGACAGCCTGTTGTGATGTATATAGTAATGTGAAGGTCCATTTCCCTGGGTAGAGCTGGCCTGCAACCCACTCACCATTGAGCCATTTCTGTTCGTCATGATGCTGAAGGCTCCCCACTGGAAGCGCAGGCCCCAACTCTGGGGGGACTCCCAGCTTTCTGCTGTGTATTGGAAAGAATGTGTTCAGAGTTGCCTGCAGAGGCTGAATTAGAGCAAAGTGTCTAAACTTGGGCGACCTGAAGGAAGCTCATGGAAAAAGTGCCTAACGATCTGTGTATCCTGTTGCATGAGACGCTTGCCCCAGTCCGTCTGGGCGGTCACTCTTTCCGAGAATGGCGCAGGAGAGTCACCCTTGCAGATTCCTTCCAGGGGTTTTGTCATTGCTGCTGTTGTTATTTTCTTTTCTTCTGTTTTGCCCTGACCTTCTTCCTGATGCCTTAGTTCAAGGCATAGATTGTTGCAAAAACCGCAGCTTCCATGTTACATGCCCACTGGAAATATGGACACCCCTGAGGAGGATGGCTAGAAACGGTGGTGAGAATTCCTCCCACTCCTGTGGAGAATCTCACCCGTGCTTCCTGAAGTGGGGCCTGGACACCCACGGGGCGGGGAGAGGGCAGCTTCCTGAGCCCATCCCACAGCTGCTGAATCGTGATTTTCAGGGCTGGCCAGGAATCTGTATTTAAGATGCTTCAAGGTGATTTTTTGAGCAACGTGCCACATAAAATAATCGGGCACCCAGTTAAATTCATCCCAAACGTTACATAGAACTTACATTGAAAATGATTATTTATTATACTAAAAAATTGTTTATTTGAAATTGGTATGTGTCAACCTACTGCCTGCTGGCCTCCATGGTTTCTAATCAGAATCGGCTATTAATCTTAAGGAGAAGATAGTTGACCCTTGAACCATGTGGGGGGGGTAGGGGAACCGCCCCCTGCAGTTGAAAACATGCATATAACTTTCGACTCCCCCAAAACTTAGCTACTAAGAGCCTAGTGTTGATTGGAAGCCATACCAATAACATAAACAATCTATTAACACATATTTTGTGTTATATGTATCATATACTATATCCCCACAATAAAGTAAGCTAGAGATCAGAAAATGTTATTCAGAAAATCATAAGGAAGAGACAATACATTTGCAGTATTGTATGTGTCTGTGGAAAACACAATCCGCAGATAAGTGTGCCCAGCACAGTTCAAACCGTGTCGTTCAAGGTCAACTGTACTTTGTCTGTGGTGAGTCACTTCTCTCCTGCTACTTACAACATTCTTTCTGCCATTTTTGTTTTTAACCCTTTTTTAAAAAATTAGATTCAAAGGAAAGACAAACACACATGAAATTTCTCTCTTCCTTCCTCCCTTCTTCCCTGCTGGTATATAGTGTTTCTATTAGCTACTCGCCTTCATTAGGAAAATACTTTTTCAAACTTTTGCAAAGAAGTGAGGATACTTAGTGCTATGTTGAGCATTGTGGGGGACACGCCAAATATCAGACACCCTCTTGTCTTCACAAAGCTCGTCATGTCACCAGGACACGTTACCCCTAGGAAGCTCCCAAGGCATTATGGGAAACCTAAGACTCTCTTCCCCAAGTGCACAGTGGCTTGGGGAATATGCAGAGCTCTCTTCCTGGCTTCCGTGGCGGACCCTTCTTACCTCGTTAATCTTCAGACATGCTCTCTGTCGTGCAGGGCACTCAACACAAGCCAGCTGAAGGCCCTGAACATTGAGATGCTGCCCGGATACCGAGACCCCTACTCCTCCAGGCCTCTAACCAGGGGCGAAATCGGCTGCTTTCTAAGCCACTACTCTGTCTGGAAAGAGGTAGATGGTGCTTTGTCCAGATGGGCGATTCTGTCATGACTCCTCATGACAGAGCGGGAGGAGAGTGGGACTTTATGGGTGAATGCGGGCCAGGTGTAAAGTGAACCCACCTCTGTTCTGGTAGGAGCCTTGGAAGCTGCTGACACCTCATGTCTCCCTCTGACACAAGGCCAGCCACAAGCAAGGAGGGTCACCGTAGTGCCACTTGGGACAATGACAGGGGAAGACACCCAGGTTCTGGGGCCATACTCCTATTTATGCACTTTCATCCTTCATAGGAGTGCCTTCAATGTGTCCAGCATGTCACCATTTATTAAGTGATTTCATACAGGAAGTCCCACAAAAGTCATATGAGTGAGGTAGGGAGGGCTGGGCCCATTTTAACCAAGAAGAAATAAATGTGTTGCCCAGGCAAGAAGTGACCAAACCAGGACTTGAATGTCTTAGAGATCAGACATTGATATGGGTGGTATTGGAGTGTGAGGTTCTTGATTAAGGTTCAGTTTTCACAAGAATAAAGTACTTTAAGAAGAGGCCCTGGAATGCCTTCTCTCCTTGAATGATCCAGTCTAAGCCAGTCTTTTTGTCTTTTAAATGAAAAGTAAGAGATATGTATAAAAATGCATAGATTGCATGAAACTGTGGTCAATGAACTTTCCAAACTGAACACTGCACCCACATTAACCAGCATGGATATGAAGAAGCAGGTGCCCCCCCCCCCCGCAGTGGCACCTCCTGGGTATTTCCTTCTAGTCACCTGTCCCCACAGGTAATCACCATGCCGACTTTGAACAGCAGCAAGAACAGTTTTGCCTTTTTTGTACTTTTTTATATGAATGGAACCACAGTCTCTCAGCATTACACTTGTGAGATTCATCTAGAACATTATATCTGATTGGGGATCACACATTCTAATGGCTGTCAATGCACCCCAACTTACTGATCCTTTCTACTATGGACAGGCACCGGCTTAGAATCCAGTTATGAGCCTTTACATATTATATCACTAAACTCTCGACGGTTTAATACTTACTTGTCCAATAAAGAAATAAATGTCAGGCTTCTCACTGACGACCTTTGCAGGTAATTGACCGAGAGTTGGAGAAGACGCTTGTTATCGAGGATGATGTACGCTTCGAACATCAGTTTAAGAAGAAGCTGATGAAGCTGATGGATGATGTAGACCAGGCTCAGCTGGACTGGGAGCTGATGTGAGTGACAAGATGGATTTGTCAGAGAGCTCCGAGGGACTCGGTCCTTCCTAAGGGGCAGCAAGCCCCACCTCCCCAGTTGTTAGGAGATACAGCCCCAGACTCTGCTTACCGGCTTCTCTCTCCATAACTGTTGCCAGGTGCAATGCACTTTAACAGTGCATTTTATCTAACCCCACATACCTGCGTATTATTCTAACACGTAATCAGTATTTCAAAACTATCAGTGAGATCGTCTACATCCCTTTTTAGAAAAAAAATTATTTACTTTTAGAGAGAGGGGAAGGGAGGGAGAAAGAGAGGGAGAGAAACATTGATGTGAAAGAGAAACATCAATTAGTTGCCTCTCACATGCCCCCAATCAAGAACCTGGCCTGCAACCCAGGCACGTGCCCTGACTAGGAATCGAACCAGTGACGTTTCGGTTTGCAGGGTGATGCCCAACCTGAGCCACGCCAGCCAGGGCTACATCCTTTTTTTACACCATCTTCGACATCCAGTGAGCATTTCATAACACCTACAACACATCTCCACGTCTGTGCTAGGCTTCCAGCTGCTAAAGTGAGCAGTTTTCCTACCCGAACAGTATGTTTTGTTTAATAATAATAATAACAGTTTTCCTTAAAACAATACATTTTGTGTAACAGATGTTATGCACTTGTTCATGTGTAAAATATTTTACACATCTTCAGTTTTAAGACTGAAATTAAGTAAGATGAAAAGAACTGAGTACAGTCTCAGTCTCTCAGGCAGGCTAGCCACCTCTCACGTGCTCACTGGAGATTTCTTTTCCACCTGATGACACATTTAAAAAACTCACTTTTCTGTCTGGAGGGACAGTGACTGGGGAGGACACAGCTAATGTTCTCACAGAACTGAAGATGAATTTAGACTCGCTCCACAAATCCTGGGATGTTTTAATAAGAGGAGCCCCTTGAATATTTTTCTTTAATTGCAGTTTACATTTAACATTATTTTGTGTTGGTTTGGGGGTGTGCAGCACAGTGGTTAGACGATCATCCACTTTACAAAGTGGTCCCCCTGCTATATCCAGCATCCATCTGGCACCAGCCACAGTTATTACCATATTATTGACTGTATTCCCTTGAATGTTCAAAGAGAGAGTTGTAGGGCAAAATTGAGGAAGTCGGCTTTACCCAGCAGGTGGGAGGCAGGCACCTCCTCCATATGCTGAGGCAGGTGCGAAACGGACAGGTTGCAGACAAAAGGAGTGGATCGCAGACCTGGGAGTAGATGGTGGGAGGGCAGACCCGGCTGCGGGTACCAGCTGAGTCACCGGAGATGCTCAACGGAGAACAGGACTTGCCTGGGTGCCTAGTCTGAGCAGGGCGCTCCGGAGGCGGAGCGAGGTGGCTGTCATCGTTCTCCCCTGGAGGGACGTCCTTGGTGCTACTGCTTGGTCCCTGGGTCTTTTACTGCCTCTTTCCCATGGCCTTTTCTGGCCTGTGTTTGCCACTGGCCTTTGGAGGGCTGTGCAGGCAACAGTGAAGGCTAAAACTCGGGGGACTGGAGACTCAGGATTCTCACATCTGGCCTGTTTTTCCCCTGCCAACCTCCGTAAACACAGCTGGAAATGTCTTTACGTCTTAACCTTCTGGCTGAAACACTGTCTGCTAAGCAAGAGTAGATAGGATGTGGATAAATAAAGCCAGGGCCACAGGCCCACTGATGGCAGATGACAGTCATGGTTGGTGACAGACAGGATGCGCTGTGTCCTGTGATGTAGTTCATATATGACAGAGTTGGTCCCAACCTTCAGGAGTGTCTGCAAAGCCATGCTCCATCTGATATTCAAATTGGAATTGTCTCCTCCGCCCACTTCCTCTCAGTTATATTGGTAGGAAGAGGATGCAAGTAAAGGAGCCAGAGAAAGCGGTGCCCAATGTGGCCAATCTGGTTGAAGCCGACTATTCCTACTGGACGCTGGGCTACGCCATCTCCCTGGAAGGAGCACAGAAGCTGGTTGGAGCTGATCCTTTTGGGAAGATGCTGCCGGTGGACGAGTTCCTGCCAATCATGTACAACAAACACCCCGTGTGAGTCATCCCGAACTCCCTGTGGGTCCTGTGAGCACAGCACATTCGTGAACCACCCTCCCCGGTTCCCGGGCAGTACTTGATGTTTGCTAAAGGGCACTGCTTTCCCAAGTGATCTGTCCATGATCACGGCCCAGAGTGCTTGACTTGAGTGACCGTCCCCGTCACAGATTGGGAAGATGAGGCAGAAATGGCGAGTCTTGCACAGGGATCCCCTTCAATACCCAGCGTGTAATTTAAATGGACAGAACCTGCTCAATCTGCTCCTTGTCTTTGATCTGACTTCCATAAACCCGTACACCTCAAGGTGAAGGTCCCCTTCTTAAATGCCTCAAATTCTTCAGTTTACTGCTCAGTCCATCATGTGTACTATTGGCCACACACTGGCTCACAGCCTGAGAACCAGACCCGTGAACGGTCATCATGACGCACTGCGGTGCTTTGATCGGGGGTGTGTTAGAGGCTCAGGGAAAGTGAGGTGGCCACCAGGAGGGCGTCCGTGGAATTGAGTAGTGTGATAACTCAGGGTTTCAGTATCCCAGGTGTCCACTTTGACCGCGCAGTTATCAAGGGGTTTGGTAAGTGACGGTTGGTTTACTTCTCAGTGTCCCCAGTAACCCAGGAACCCCAGAGAGAGGCACGGCCTTCCAGCTCTGTGTCCTAGGAGCCTAGACCAAACTCCACACCGCAAGGATTCCTAAGTTCGTCACGGCGCAGTAGACCAGCTTCCAGCCTTGGCTCCTCCTCCAAGTTGCTGGGTTACGTCCTCACCTAGATGGTCTTCACGTCAGTGGCTGAGAGTCCCTGAGCTCCATCTTGCTCCTTTTGTCTCCTGTCCTCAGTAGGGATGAGCTCCTTGCCCTCTTTTATAGAACATGTTAGAGTGACATGATCTTTGAGTCCCGGAGAAACACTGAGGTCAGCCATCATCCCCCTCACGGAAGGGAAAGGGGCACTCACCCACCTAGGAGCTGAGCAGGTGTGCCCCCAGATCCTCTGCACCGGAGCCCTGGGAGGGAGGTCGAGTCCCCCCTCAGCTTTACACTCAGAGGGAGCTGGAACGCCAGGCCACGCTGGCGCACCTCCAAGCCTCCACCAGCTCCCGCACCCCGGCACCGCCCTCCACATCCTGCTGTCGAATGGCTCAGTCCAGCCACGGGGCCTTTGCTACAGAGGGGATCCCACTTACTTATTATCATGGTCCCACAGAGAGTCAATCTAAACTTTTCGAGTAAGACCTGAAAGTCATCTTTTAAACTATTCTATCCAAACACAACAGAAAGATCCTGACTTTTTCTTTGTGTATTTGTTTAGAGCATCTGAAAACTTCTAAAGAATATGTATCTGTTACATTCCGCTCTCACAAGCAAGAAGGGTCGGAGACGGTCGGGCAGTCAAAGATATTGTATTGGCCAAAGTTTCAAAGTTTTACCTGCACAGGGGCGAACTCTCGGGGTGTCCGGAGACACGGTGCCAACCCACGCTTACAGGCCAGGGTTTTATAGAAGCGGGCAAGCAAGCGGGTTTCCAGAAGCAAAGGTGGCAGTTAGCGATAAACGAGCTCAGGTGTGAAGCACTTAACAACAACTCCTGACACATGGAAGCCCTCTACACATTTTGACCAATTCCTAACTCTCTGGAACACCTGCCTGGGGTGGGTGTGGTTTCTACTCAGGCTTGAGCAAGCAGTCTTGGGTTGAGCAAACAGCTTAGCACAAACAACTTACTTCCTCCTCGACTCTAACAGTATCGATTTATAGACTAAAGTTTTCCACAAAGGACACAATTTACAGGATAGTCTGATGAACGCAGACCACTGGAGAGCCAGCAGGCAGGGCCCCTCTCCCCCCCAGCCCCGCAGCCCCGGTTCTGCCGGCCCCTCACCCACCTGTGTGCCTCTTGTTTCCAGAACGCAGTACAAGGAGCACTACAAATCCAGGGACTTGAAAGCCTTCTCTGCAGAGCCCTTGCTCATCTACCCCACACACTACACGGGCCAGCCGGGCTATCTGAGCGACACGGAGACCTCGACCATCTGGGACAATGAGACGGTGGCCACCGACTGGGACAGGACGCATTCCTGGAAGTCCCAGAAGCAAGGCCACATCCACCGCCACGCCAAGAACACAGAGGCCCTGCCCCCATCGGCCTCGCTGAACACTGCGCCTTCGAGGGACGAGCTCTGAGGCTCCCGGCGGGCTTCACCCCCCTTTGGGCCCTCCGACGGCTGTTCGTCGGTTTGCTCCGGCTTCTTCTGGTGATCACAAGCATCTGACCCAAGTGGTCGATTGAAAGTGGTCGATCAAAACTCATACATTTTTGACGGGAGGAGAAATAAGAAATTTAAACCCCAATTTCCTAGGATGGGTGGAAGAGAGGCTTTATGGCAGCCATTACCATAAACTGCAGTGTAGATACTAGTCCTCTGGTTCGTTCCCCAAGTGCCGCTGGTTCTCACATAAGGTGGAAGAATACGGCTCAGAGACTCGTCCGAGAGAAAGGTGACGGCCACAACTGTCAGTGAATGAGTGCTCTAGGGGCCCATTGTATGTCATAGACGTGACCTTAAAAACTTGTGTAGCTAACAAGTTTATGAGGGGAATCAAATTATTTAAAACCAAAGTAATCGGGCTTGGTGTTTGAAGAAATTCTGTCCTGAGCCTCAGTGCAGATGGAGTTCTTCATCCTTGTCCTTGTTGTCCAGCGGGTGGGCATCGGGTCCGTCTGAGACTCACCTGGCCTTTCACTGTCGTGGTGACTGACGCTCCCTTAACGAGGTTCCAGGTTGTCACTGAGTACAGTTTAGTAGTTCTTTTGGGGTTTGTGTAGATATTTAAGGAAAAATAACCCAGACTTTGGCCTTTTGGATTGTGGTCATTTATTTGAGTTAGGATGCGCTATTTATGAAGATAAATTTAATATATAGGGGTCAGGGTTGGTGTCTAATTTCTGTCCCAAGGGTTTGGCACATCAGACGCTCCCTCCACCCCCGGCCTGGGAATGAATTGCAGGTGGGAGTTTTATGAGTCACGGTTCAGGGGCGGCTACTGTCCTTGTCTGAGTTTTTCGTTCTAATTTGAATTATTTATTTTACAAAATGGGGGGAAATACCTGTACGGTAAGGCAGAGAAAACAGATGTGTCCAGCGTCTCCGTGTTTAGAGACCAAACACAGTGGTCCCCTGGGGACTGGTCAGTGTAGGCCCCCTGGCTCAGCGGTCTGGTTCCCCTGCCTTGTGCGGGGGGCTCTTGTTGCGTGGGAGGCTGGAACCATCTGGAAACAAATGACCCTCCGTTCCAGGTGAGAGACCTTGCTCAGAGATAGTGGTCTGATCAGCAGACGCAGGCCAACCACCGGGAAGCTCTCAGCGTCAGGTCCTGGGCAGAGCACTCTCTGCTGGCCTCCCGGGCCGATTTTCTGTGAAAGGTGGAGTTGGACGACATCATGTCTTCTGCGATCCTCGGCTGTCTCGGGACGGTTTGCTTCTGGTTTGTGTTTTCGTGCCCACAGACAACAAAGCTTCGCTCTGGAAGTAGCCTCCGCCGCGTCCTGTCCACATCGTCCTTGGGGATCTCCCTGGGGGCCCTGGTGAGGGTCCCCCACTGCAGGATGAGGCAGTTTGCCTTCCACAGAACACCAGTCTCCGCCTTCCTTCCTGAAGTATCACTGATACCCCTGTATGTTGACTAATAAGCCAGGGCGCTGAGGAAGGGATCTCGGCCAACTCCGATTTCTACGGCTTAGACACAGCCATCAAAGTGTGACTCTTTTTTTCTAGGAAAAAAGAAAAAACTGGAAGAGAAACCTGGAGAGTCTGTGAAAAACCCTTAGGTCATCCCTAAGGCTTCCTTGGGTGTTTTGTATTTTGTTTGCGTATTTCAGTGTGTGTGTGATGTTTATGGTGTTTTTTTAATGGGGTGGGAGGTGGCGGGGTATTGGGCTGGAGGAGGACTAAGTTGTTGTTCATGTGGTTTTGTCTAATAGAGAACACTTTTACCCCCCATCAGCTGGTCTGGTGGGTTTCCAAATCCCCATTCTTAAAAGACATGGGTCTTAAATTCTAGGATTTTAGATTAGGACTGTTCTACTGTGAAGAAAGTTCTGGCTCTCTTAGCCCAGCCATGGCGTCTCTCCGCTCAGGTCTGGAATCCCAAGGGACAACCTGCAGGACCAGTATTCCTCTACCAAGTGGTCTCTTCAGCGGCCCAGGGGGTCCTTGGCCTCGCCCTCCACCTGCCTCCCCATCCAGGCTTCAGTCCAGACCTCTGACCTTGGCAGTGTCAGAGGCTTTGCCTCCAGCTCAGGCCCCTGCTCCAGCCTCTGAAGTTAAATGCCCCTGGATTCCCCATCTGGACCCCTGCCTGGATCTTGGGCCCCAAAGTGGAGTCCTCTGGACAGATGGCCCTGACCCCAGTGGGGCTGGCGCTGCCGAGCGTGGACCGCGCGGGCCTTGCTTTGGGTCCTCTGGGGCCGGCCACAGGGACTTGGGGACAGGAAGGCACTGGCACCCCAGCGCCCTACACTGTCTGTCGCGCTGTGTCCCTTCAGGAGAGGATGTGATAAACTACTACTTGCCTTCTAGAGCTCTTTGTAAAAATTAAAAAAAAATTGGCTCGATGCTGTGACTGGTCGCATGTTCCTCCAACACTGATCGGTGGCCACTGTCGGGGTCCCCAGGTCCGCTCCGGAGCAGAGATGCCCCTCCCTGCCGCGTGGCCCCACGGCACGTGAGAGGGGGTGGTCACTGACCTTCCTGTCCGGTGCAGGTTGTCTTAGAGCGCGGGGTGGAGGTGGGTCAGCTGGCAAAGATTCCAGGATACGGAAAAAACTGGGGAGTCCGCAGGGGGAGGGTGTTGGGAAAGAGCCCACCTCACATTTTTGTGCTATGGGTCAGTCTATCCATTCACTGCAAGTACTATGATGCTTGACCAAAGCCAAAGAGCTTTATGCCGGGACAAATAAATAAATAAAAAGGAGAACCCATGCTAGCCTTAGCAAAACACCTTGAATTTCGGATCATGCTTCCCCAATACTTCAAACACCCGGTCTGAGCACCGCCCCATTTCAGGCGTGAGCTGGGCACTCAGATGCGCAGAGGACTAGGGGGGGCCCTTCTGCGGCGGGCTCCGCGGCCCAGTGCAGCAGCCACACGAGCAGGCGGCCTTGTCTCGGAGGCTGGGACAGACATTGGACCCCAGAATACCGGGTTCTGCTTCGCCCGGGGGTGGCATTCGTGTGGGTCGGGGGTGGGGGGCCTGATGCAGAGTTCAGAGGAGGCAGGACAGCTGGGCGGGGGGTGGGGGGTGGGAACGCTATCCAGGCACCGGGAGGGTGTGGGGTTGTGACCAGCCCCTCGGCGGGGACAGGAACCTGGGCAGGACTGAGAGGCAGGTGTGTGTTGGGGTGGACGACAGGAAGCCAGACTGAGACCCGATGATGGTGGCCGGACTGTCTTGTCAGGAATGCAGAGGCCACTGTTCCTGGGTCCGTTCCCTCTTTGGTTTCTGGTTTCCAGTGAAGCCGGTGCCAGAAACAAGACATGCTGCCATTCAGCTCCACACTTGGGAATCTTTTCACTTAAGGTTGGAACAGATCCCAGCAACAAGGAGCTGTCAGCAGAGGCGAGGTGTCTGCAATGTGCGTGACACTTTCCCTCCAAGTGAGCGCAGGGGAGAGAAACGAGCTGGAAGGGTCTCTGTGGCCGCCAAGGGGTGAATTCACTAGGGGATCAGTCAGTAACCCCAAAGTGGGATTTAAAACGAGGCCGGTCATTTGATCAGAAAGTGGCATGACGTGGGTAAGTCACAAAGTCAGGGAACTGAGCCGGCGGCCCTGGGAACCATCGTCACACCACACCGTACGTTCCACGGTGATGTTTATTATTTCAGAGAGAGGCTTCCGCCCCAGGACATTCTGATTGAATGTGGCCGAGGCGGGAGGGCCAAAAGGAGACAGCAGTGGCCTGGGGGGGCCCCTCCCTGTGAGTGGGGACACAGCCCTCAGCCAGTGCCGGGCAGCCAACAAGGATGGAGGGTCTGGCCAGCGCAGGTCCTTTCTGGCCGGCTCGGAAAAGAGAGAAATGGGACTCGCAGGTTGGTGCACTGTGTCACCACAGATGACAGGGTCGGTGGTGCCACTCCAGCACAGAACAGGAGGCCACGGCTTGAACCACAGCGTGAAGAATTTGGGAGTGCTTTTAGGGAGAATTTGTTCACAGAATTATTCGATTCTGAATGGGAGTCCCAGGTCCGTGGCTCTATCAGCGTGTGTCACTGAGTGGGAGAGCAGTCCCTTCTGCTCTGTGGGGTGACCTAAAACGACCTGGCTGTTTCCTTCCCCTCCCCCCATGTTGGATGTGTTAATATGAAGAGGATCTTGCTCCAGATGCTCCTGCAGCACCAGCTGGGCTACTCCCAGCCCAAAGCCGTCCTCCCGTCTGCCCCTGAGAGGGGTGGAAAGAATGGGGAGCTGCCTCTGAGCATCGGTTTCTCTTTACTTTTAATCTGCTGAGTTTATTTGTATGGGCCCTCCCTGTAGCTTCTTCAGCTTGGCTGCCTCTAGAATGGACGTTTTAATAAAATCTCCACGTCTGAGCAATTCTGGGGCTTGCAGAGTACAAGCTTCCCAGTCCCCCTCCCTCCATCTAGGGGGGCTCCCCTGGGGGTTTCCAGCTGTAGGGGAGGCTGGACAGACACCCGAGTCCTTCCTCATGATGGAATATGGCCTTCGGAGGGTAGCGGACAGCCCTCTGTCTCTGTTCTTCAGAGAAATTTGGAACACAGTGGGACAAAGTATCCTCTTCTGGAAGATACCTGCAGTTTGGGGAAGAGCCCAGACAGGAGCTGAGATGCCCAGGGGTTGATGGCGTGACCCAGGGGATTTCAGCCACTTTGAAAACTGGTGGCACAAACTGTGGAGTTTTGACCGGGGTGGGATTATGCAGACGGAGCACAGGGAGGGCCCCGCACTGAGTTGAGTGTCCAGCTGGAGGACAGGGATAAGCCTGAGGAAAATGCGGGCGAGAGGAAAGAGGTGGTTCAGAGCATAGCCCGCAGAGCTCAGGACAGAAGTGCAAGGCCTGGGGAGAAGGGACAGAGGCCCCTGTGCAGGGGAAGCAAGGCCAGAAAAGGAGGAAGGGACCAGAGGGGAGAACAGCAGAGCTGGAGAGGCTTTGAAGGCACTGGCAATGCCTGATCCTCAAAGTGGCTGCTTTACCCACTCAAACTGCAGCAGCAGGAGCAATCGGGTTTGGTTCAGCTGAATGGCCTGCGGAGGGACGGGTGGGAGGTCTACAGTCCCCGGTGCCTGTGGACCGGCAGCAATACAAGGCTGTGCATCTGAATGGTCCGGAGCAGAGCCCCACTTCACTGGAAGACACAGGACCCAAGTGGACACAGGAGGGGGCACCTGGGAGAGGGGAGTGCCTTCCGGTGAGGACTGTCCCTACCTGTTACAGAGGGAATTCAAGAAGATGGGACCCTTGTGAAAATCACTGCTGACTCCGTGTGGTGACAACGCTCTGGCTCTGGGAGGGACACAGCACTCACCAGGGCTGCTTCCCATGAGCTGGCCACTCCATTAACGCTGGCCACTGTGAGTCCACCCTGCAGACAGCCTGCCCGGTGCACCGTCAGGGCTGTGTGCGCCCTCGGGCCCATCCCAGGGAGACTCTTTGGCCTGCAGAGGTGGAACAAGCTGGAGCAGCCCTGGCTGCCCTCCAACCCCAAGAGTCAGTGTTTCCCCAGAGCAGCCGCAAGCTGGATTTTTCCCAGGGTGCTGCTGTTCGCACACCTGACTCGCCTCTGAACGCGTCACAGCTGCCGCGTGTGGCAGCTCCACCTGGGAGGGTGGTGGGAGGGCTCCAGAGAAGACTCGACTCCCATAGGCCAGAGGCCTTCTGGGAGTGACATCAGCTGACTATTCCTGTGTGTGCCGAGTGCTTTCTCCTCCCCCGGGCACCATACCATTTAATCCTGCATGAACCTCCACAGGTGGGAACCCTCACCAACCCCTGCTTTTCAGGTGAGGCAATAGCTCAGTGCCTTAGCTAAGGTAGCAAGTGGCCGGGAGTCAGATCCCGGGACACCAAACCATCCATGCAAAGCTTCTGATGGAGTCAGTCTTGTTTCTCAATTTCTCACTAACATCTAATGTTTCTATCTCTGTCTGACTTCCTGAATGTCTGTCTGTCTGTCTCTCTCACACACACACAGGGCGTGATATATCAATAGAAAGGAGCTTGCTGCTCCAGCCCCTAGGTTTACTTCCCACCTACAATAGCTCGTATATTGACCAGTCAGCTGATCAGACCTGTGCTGATGGTGATGGTCTGCTGGAGGCTTGGACATCAGATGTTGTATAAACAAGGACCTGAAATAGATGTCTGGGGAAAAAGCCAACAGTCTCATTTAGAATGAATGCTTCTCCCATTTTGCAGCTGGTGCCTTGATGTGGTTTTTATGCCTGGAACAGTCCAGAAAGTTTAAATCACTCATTGCCTTTGTTTTTCCACTTGATTTTCTGGTACCCCTTCTATAAGAAATTGGAACTGGAGCACAAAGGGTGTCTTTGGGATTAATCGATGGTGGGAACAAAATGGTATCTTTGGAGGAGCCTGCGATAAAGTACTCGTCTGTGGATTGCTGGCTTCAGAGACGCTGAGCAGGGCGGTCCCAGCTCCCTCTGACTGACACAGCCAAGCCCCAGTCACACGCCTCCTTCAACTCCTCCCGCATTGGTGTTTTCTACAGGAGGCCCGTCCCCCGCACCCACGTGGGCCTACAGAGTTCAGGGATCGGGGATGGACTGAAATCTTAGCGGAGGAGCGAACTCACAATGTAAACCTGATTTTCATGGCCCTGCTTCCTCGTCTGTGAGATGGACTCGTGCTCAGGATAATAGGGAGCAGTGCTCCGACCAGCAGTGCAACTCTTTTTGGAGACTTTAAAGAACCGTCCAACCAAGATGGCGTGAACGCACGTGGGAACTGCCGCATTGGGGTGGGGAGACCCCCCCCCCCCCGCATGTTCTCCAGCTCAGGGAGGCTACGGAGGCGGATCCATCTCTACAGGGTCCAGCCCGATGTGACATGCACATAGTGGGGTCTATAATCCACAGCTCTGCCCTTAACATTGGGCAACTGGTTTCGAGGCCCTGGCCTCAGCCCATCTCTGTAATATGATAAGGGGACTCCATGATTTCCAAGATGCCTCTGACTTTTAAAATGTTAGCAACTGTTAAGTGAATTGTTTCCGCAGTTTTCTGGGTAGAGATGTTGAAAAACCACACCAAATACATGGTTTTCAAACTCTGGGTTTAAAATAATTAAATTTGCCTGGATTCTATTGGATCTCGTGGGTTATGTGTAAACACTCTAAATGTCCTAGATGTGTTTTTAACAACTACATCTGTAAAGTAGCTCCTCTTTCAGTCCGAGTAGGGACCACGTGGAAGCCCGTGAGTTGGTAGTGAGTGCATGCTGAAAACTGAACACAAATTCTCTACGGCTCATTGCAGACAAGCTTAAATGACCCTGCGTGGCGTGTTCTCCTTAGAGTACTTGTCTTTCCTCAACGCTTGTTCGCTCTGTGCAGCGCCCATCTCCGGTCCTCGCTGCTGTCTCCCCCAAGCCCTTTTCCCAATGACTGGGGAGAGAGAGACAAACCCACGGCCCCGTCAGAAGACGGCAGTCCTCTGGGGCGACACAGCAATGCTCAGCTGCTACTCTCGGTGTTGCCCACAGGCCCCCACCTCCCCTGCATTTACGGGGCCACAGAGTGACCCACGGCCTGTGAATGGAAGTGACACTGCCACTTTGGCCTGAGTTTTCTCTGCCGTCGCTGTGACCCGAGGAACCTGATATGGCAGAACTGAATGCTGCCTGGACCCCTGAACTACCCTCAGAGAAAAGCCACTGAGGAGCACAGCCTGGCCGGCATTACACTATGACGTGATGGAAAGTAAAACTGTGTTAAGTCACTGAGATTCCGTGGGCCGTTGCTTCAGCCTAGCCTAATGCGTCCCTTCCAGAAGTGGAAACCAGAAGTGTTTCTTGTAAGAGGGGACTCCAGGGGAACTAGCCATGCTGAACACGGTAGAAACACTTTCTCACAGTGGAATTCTGATACAGGCTGTAACCAGTGGCATTCGGGAACCTTCTCAATACCACGGAGTCAGAGACAGCACGGAGCAATCCTGCACACCTCTGAGCGGTCCCCTGCTGTACCCCACATTTGAGAGGGCTCCCAGAGGGGAGATTTTGAGACATAATTCCTTCAGGCAAAAAGTCACCAAGTTCAGTGTTTAGACAGAGGCAAAATGATGGAACCAGTTTTCTAGAATGATCTTGAAAAAGCACCAGAGATAGAAAACCCTTTTTTTCCTCCTGCCCCATCCCATTTTATTAATTCTTAAAAGACCTAGTTGTTTCTCTCCAAAATATCACAAAGACCCAGAACATTGGTGATTTGGAGTCATTTCAGAATCCCCTGCAAAACAATTCTGGGAACATTCTGGAAATAATATGATGAGTGACAATACTGTGCCACTGGTGAGTGAAGCAAACCCCAGGAAGACCTCCTCCCACAGAGCCCTCCTTCCCATAGAGAACTCCTCCCAGAGAGACTCATGCAGCTGGTAGCAGGTGCAGACGAGGGGAAAAGCTGTCAGAAAGTAGGCAAAGCACCACCTTGGATCCTGACTTTAAGTTCAATGTCATAGAAAGTGACCACACGACTCCTAACAAGAGCACCTTGACAGCAAGGCATCGGACTACAGTGTCCTGAGGATGTCATTCTTCTCCCAAGTCTGATTTCAACACTCGTCTGTGGAGAGGGTCCCTCCCCCGACTCTGCCACTGGTTTGCCCTCTGCTCCCAAAAACTGGGCCCGAGCCGGAGTCCGAAGGGCTCATGGACACGTCGGGAACCCAGAGCCCACCTGATTAATACTCCGGATACAGTCCCTTTGGGGCCGGCAGCATGTGCCACCCAAGTCCCAACCAGTTTATTAGTGTAGCCCGAAAGTAAACAGGTGACGGAGACGCAGAAAGACAAGCATGCGAGCAGCGGAAAGCGCCCGGTGTCCACCGGGAGACACAATGGAGACATTTAAAGTGGCATTAAATAAATGAGGCTACGTTGTATCGACTTGGAATGTCCATCGTCTTTAAAAAAGGAAAATATATATATTTTTACATTGCAGTATATAAATCTAGACTCTACATGTACAGTATAAATACACAGGGTGAGCACATGGGCACAGGCGGTCGCCGTGGCTACGCTCTCAAGGAGGCCGGCAGTTCCCTGCTTCCTTTCTGACCTCCAAACCATGGAATTCGGGCCGAGGCTACATCTACTTCAGAGTCCATGACGTCCAGCACCCCGGCCACCTCTCCTCCACACACAGAAGCTCGAACGGGACAGGACTCGCCAACGGAAGAAAGTGCTTTTCGACTTGCTGTGTCCCGTGGGTCCTGGCGACACACAGACGGATCTCCGAGAGGGAATGTGAAGGCTTCCGGCTCGTTCTTTGGTCCATGGCCACAAACCCCTCCCTGGCGTTTCCCCCAGATTTCATGCAGCTCCATGTAGTTTGTAGCACATAAACCCCACGTAAACTCCGGGAGCTGTCTCACAGGATTACGGGGGAGAAAACCCTCCGTGTTACCATCTACACTTCCTATGTGGTTTCATTCTTTATTTTTGGAATAAAAACTGGTATTTTGAGAATTCTTTTTTTCTTAAAAAGGGCAACATTCTGAAAGTGCTTCTTACACATGTCAACTTCCCACATATGGCTTTTTAGTTCAAATCCCAGCACAGCTCAGATCTGGAAGGGGGAGGGTGATGCTGTCACTAGAGGGAAAAAGTCACAGAACAGCAACACTGTGATAGCAAGTGTGGGGACCTGAAAAAATGGTACTGGATCCATTTCAGGTCCCCAAGTGTGGGGGCCCGAATCCAAAAATGTTCCTGGGGGAGCAGGCCTCTCTAGAAATGCAGCCCCATTCCCCCACGTGATGCGGCGCAGTAATGCTACAAAAGTTAGTACGTAAAACAGGACGCTGCGGTCAGTGGGTAGCGTCTTCCGAGGGGCTGTTAATGGAGCAGTCCCGGCTTAGAAATCTTTCACAGGCTCAAAATGATCAAATAAGAGTCCATTGCAGTAGGACTTTCTACACCTGAGGAACAAATTGCACATAATATACAGCTGCTACAATCAGATGGCAAAAGACTCCAGACATGGAGTTTTACATGCAAAAGTCAATCGGAAGAGGCTGCGTTACCCGAGAACATGGCTATCGGCGCAGTGACGATCGTGACATGCCTGTCAAGGGTGGGGGGACAGAAACACGGTGCGGCTGCCACAGATCAGAACGGACCGTGTGGACTCCAGGAGTGTCGGGTGCTGGGCAGGGGCGTGGGCGGGGCCTCCGAGGCCCCTCCCTGCCTCCCTGGGGCCGCAGGAGGCTGGGGTGCAGGCAGAGGCCGGCAGCCTCGGGCTTATCCGAGCCCTTCCCACAGCGGCCTTTCATGGAGCCCGTGGCACTGCCCACCGCTGCAGCTGTTCCCCTCTGGTGGCACTTGACTGAGAAACTCATCCTCTCCCTTAATGGAAACAGTTTGGACTTTGTCTGCATAATACTGGCACGAAGGACTCTGTGTTCCCAGGACTGGGTCGGCTTACTCGGCAGGCAGGAAACCAGCTTCTTGGTTCCTTCTATCTCCCTGTAAGATGTGACCTCGACTTCCCGGGTCATTGTGCAAATTTGTTTTTTCCATGATCCACAATATCCAAGTCTCTCGTATATTTTATATGTACACATACCTACCAACTATGTGTAATATACATTTATAAATGTGGATAATTTTGCATTTCAGTCTCAGGTCGAGGAGATCAGTGAACCATTCATCCTTTTCAGGGCAGACTCACCTCCGACTTCCCATGAGGCCTTGCGCACTGCGAGTACTTAATCAGCGCCTGCTGGAGATGCTGAGGACCCTCTAACACTGGGCGGTGGCTGCAGTGCCCACGGCCCGTCCTCACCCCACTCTGCCGCCGTGGGCGAGCAAGGGGCCGTCGGTCCCCCTCACAGGGTGATTTTGCTGTGTCTGTTGCTCCAGCAGCCCCGCTTGGCTGTCCTGGGCAAGGTCAGGCTGGTCCGGCTCCGCAGTTTCACTTGGTCTTCCGTGGCGTTCTTTTTGCGTAAAATGAAGTCAAAGTTCACTTGGCTGTTCATGGCATAAAAGACGTTTGCCGAGTCTGGGATCACGAGCTCTAGAAAAGATGAGCGCAGAGAGGCGGTCAGCTCGTGCCGGTCAGCCCAGCGCGTCCAGTGGCGGCGGGGGGAGAGTCTGCCGAGGAACCAGGCCAGGACTAGGGCCTCCACCCTGGCCCTGGAATGCGAAAGGAACCAGATAGTGCCCAACCCCCCCGCCTCTGCCGCAAATAAAACAGGTTCCCACAATGTCTCAATCCCAACCTAAAAAAGAAAAACCAAGTGCAAATATCATCTTAGAAATTCGACCCCTGAACTAAATGTTCACCTGCAGAAAGTTTTAACTGGAAAGGAGTCCTGGGGGGAGACAGCCCGGGCGGGTTTAAACGACGTTCCCAAGACCACAGCCAGCCATGGCGCAGTGGGACCGGAACCCAGGTTTCCTTCCTCTACTCGCTATTTCCTACTCTGAAATGCAGCTTTTCTGAGACGGCGATGACCCACTGACATGCGGGGTGAAGAGTAGAAAATCGGCAGTGTTTTCCAGAACTCTGGAATGTAGAAATAGTTTTGAGGCAATCCCTAATCCTCCCAGTATTTTATTTCTTCTGAGGCCCTGCTCCACCAAGAGCCTGCGTTCTGTGTTAAACAGCATCCCTCTGAGACACTGCGATTCTGTCCACATTTGAACAACTGTCTCCAATGATTCCCAGGTCCATAGCTGGGCAAGGACTATTCCAGGGGTGGTACAAAGCTATTAAGCAAAGTTATTTTAACACAGTCTTATTTTTAAAAGAAGGTATATGCTACTGGGCACTCGGGGGCCATTGGGATCTAAACACCCACATGGGGACCAGGAAAGGTAAACTCTGTGAGTGCAGCTCCGTGGCAGCGGACAGGGAGGCCACGCGCGGGGGACCTGACAGCAGAACTGGCGGAAGTCGACCCGGGCTAACTTCAGACACTGAGCTCCGACTGCAGGCTGATGCAGTCGGGTCCTCAGTGACCATAAAGAACAGCTCCTGTAAACTGCCTCCCTCTCTCTCGCCCACATGTTCCCATTTAACCACCTAAGCACCGAGGCTGGGGAGGTCAGGCAGCCCCCACCCCAGTACCGCGCTGTCGCTAAGGAAGCCAGACCTGGCCGCACCTCCAGGTTCCTGGGTCTTCAGACCGGCCAGCCTCACCTGAGTGCTTTTGTCAGCAATGTGGTGAAACTCAGGAGACCTCATTTTAGGCTCGGAATTTTAACTGAAACAACATCAGAGTATATCTCATAACTGAGAAAGGTGTGCCCTACAAGCTAGAGCTCAGCTGAATGAATGAGAAAATTCCCAAGAAGCAGCTGACAAAGAGCTTTCTCGGATGCTCTTTATTCCTGGGACAGGTACCATTAAGTCTAGCTGCTGTCCTCTTGGGTCCTTCTGTCCTGGGAAGTGGGACTCATTCTGACTGAGTCCCTCTCTGTGACTAACAGGGTGTGGAGCAGCTTCTCTCCGCCTCTCGGCAAATACAAGCCCAATTCAGGTTGGCAAACAGGCACATCGGGGTGATTATTTGCCCAGCGTTTCCATTAAAGGCATTTCTTTGAGGAATGGGTTCTAGGAGTACGAAGCATCTCACAGGTCACCAGTTCCCTGCCTCGTGAAGTGTGACCTCCAGACCACCCCCCCGCCCCCCACGCTGATCCCAGGGTTAGCAGACTGCGCTACGTGAAGACCAATCATGAACAAAGCCGCACTGGAAGACAAACCTGCCAGCCGCTCAGGAGGAGCGAACTGCAACCATGGGAATGGCTACAGAGACTGCGGCAGCTCAGGGGCTCACCCGGCTGACACACACGTCATGGGTAGGGAAGTGCCTGGCCCCCTGCAAACACCCAGCAGAACCCCCAGGCCCCGCCCCCAACTCCAACTCAGGGAGAGACCTCAGACTGGGTGAGAAGTTTACAACAAGTGGGCGGCAGGCATTCTCTGCAAAGCGGAGATGTAAGAAGGGTTATTGGGGCAGGAGGCAGCCTGAGACGCTTAATTCTGCAAATGAGCCGATGGTGTGGCCCGCACACGGCTCTGCCTTTGCACAGTTAAACCCCCCACTTGGCTCCATTTAAAAGAAGACACTGCACCCATTTTCTGTCCTTTAAAGCCGGGCGACCTGCTGTGGGGAGGCGAGAAGGCGCGTGCCCACCTTTGTCCTCCGAGATGACCTGCACCAGCTCGTACTCCTCGGCTGGGTCGGAGTCCAGGTTGTGCTTCTGCATCGCCCTCTGGATCACGGCGGGGGTTTTGTCCTGGCTCGTCAACTGCAAGGGCAGGGAAGAGCGGGCACAGTGCTCAGCTGCACCTGTCCCCAGAGAGCTCTCCTGGCCCTCTTGTCCTCGCCACCCTGTGCCTCCCAGGAGAAATGGCCTCAGCAGTCACAGGATGGTGGGTCACGCACTGTCAGCCACCTACTCTCCCAGAGTCACAGTGTCTTCCCCATTAAACTACCGAGAAGGCATGCCCGGCCTGTCTCCCTCGCACTGGCTGAGGTTCCAAGGAAAGACGTGCTCTGAAAAATGGACAGCATTTTCAGTCTGGGGCCAAAGTTACCCTTACCTGTTGGGCTGCGGCCATGGCACTGGCTTCAACCAGAAATGACCAGTTCTGCATGCTGACCATTTCAAAAAAACACAGTGACCCTATGGCCCAGCAATCCTTTACCCAGGTACGGCCAAGAGAAATGAAAACATGTCTGCAAGAGGACTCTCGCACAAATGCTCCTAGCAGGTTTATTCATGATAGCTGAAGACTGGAACCAACCTGAATCTCCATCCACAGGAGAACAGGGAATAGATAAAGGAATCATGGTATGTTCCCAACATAACACTGATCCACAGATTAAAGTAAATGAAAGCACTAATACATGCAATATTGGGGATGAATCTGTAAAACACGAGATTCAACATGAATGTGAGCCAAAGAAGCCACACACACAAGAATACATGCTGCAGGGGTCAACTCCTTTCAAAACAGGCCACACTAACCTGTGGAGGTAGGAAACTGACTTTAATTAGCCTTAACCTTGACCAAGTTAAGAGGGATTGGATGGATGGGAAGGACAAAAGGAGGTTCTTTATCAGGACTCGGGGTGACGGCCACACATATAAACACAGACACAGACAGAGACAAGATGAGGCAGAAGTCAAGTTACTAAAATCCAAAGACCTAAACACAAGGTCTCTGTGCGTAGTTGTTTGTGAATGATGCGTCAACAAAAATCAGCTTCTGAATGTTTAAAAATATAAATCTAACATTTGTCAAAAAGTGTGTTGCCCCTCGCCACCAATCCCGACTTTCTCCCCTTCATCCCTGCCCAACAGCCACCAACTGGCCGGGCGCTCGGGACAGAGGGCTCACATGTACACCATCCCTTCGGCGATTTCTTTAAATATGAAAGAAAGAAAATGAAAACACAAATTATTCTTACTTAAAAATGAAAACTGTTCTCTGCAGGCAGTAAAAGGAGAGACAACCACAAAAAACAAACAGAAAACAAAGCAGCTGAAGTCGCCCAGAGAACGGCGTCACTGGGACCTGGGGACAGCGCGGTCCAGCTGTGTCCCTCCGGTTGGGGGCAGCAGCTGATATTTGCAATTCGATAAACAACGTGCATCCCAACGGGTCCTTGCAGGCGGAAAAAACCCTGCACATCTGTCCACTACTAAAACATCTGGCATATCCATTTGCGAGGGAGAAATAAGGGCACACAACATTTTAAAGGAGGGAATACGTTGTTTGCTGGTTTACAGAAAATAGTCCCACAGCTGAATCCAAGTGGACAAGGAGCGTGAAGCCAAAGGAGAAAGGACACCACTTGGGGGGTGTGTGCATGGGGCTCAGATGGTTAGTGAAACCCACTCGAGGAGAAAGCCAGGCCACCCTTATCTTCTCACCTCCACTTTCCCCAGCTGTGTCAAAGACACGGACGGAGACTGAGGGTCACAGTCCGCACTCACAGCTCCAGCGACCCTGCGGCTGCCGGTTGGTGCACTGAACTGGCCCCGTCAGCAGACTGGTATAATGTGAGCCTCGTTTGTGATTTTAAATCACAAATATCTAGTAGCCACATTTCTCAAGTGTTGTACAGAATTTAATTTTAACAACATATTATTTAATCCAAAATGTTATTTCAGCATATAATGGAGATGAAAATTACTGATTAGATACTGCATGTCCTTTTTTGGCACTAAGCCTTCAAAATCTGGTGTATGTTTCACACTTACAGACATCCTGACTCAGACTGTCCCCATGTCACATGCGTGGCCACCGTGTGTGGCGGATCCACTGAGTAGAGCAGTGTCGAATGACACTCGGGTGTCGCCTTCACGCACCTCAAGTAGGAAATGAAACAACTCCCTGCCCCCTGCCCCGAGGTGGGTTTTCTAACACCCCAGGCTGGTTTGGCCTGTGTTTGAATGAACAGACCCCCACAGGATGTAATCTCTGGTGCCTTGTTTCTTTGGCTCAGCATGATGTTTCAGAGATTCGCCCACGCCGACTGTTGCACATATCAGTTCTTAGTTCCCTTTAGCTCAGAGTCACCCTAGAGTCACACAGTGGAACTTCCTCCTCTGGCAGGCACGTGTCAGAGGATCCACCTGAACAAACCAGGCTGAAAACACAGAAACAACCCGATGACCGTGGCCTTGACTGGCCCCTCTCCTTTCCGTCTCAGCCTACACTCATCCCCCCCATGAGCGGATCCACCCAATGGGGCTGGATGGCTCCCCGTATCCGACTCCGGTACCAGCCTGTATTTCTGACCATCTACCACACGAGCCATGTGGATATCCTACTGGTTCATCCAATTTCAATGCCCCCACACCTCCTCCTCCAGCAGGAGGTACCTATCTCTCTTGGCAGGACCAGCATCGCCAAACTGCCCAGACAGCCCTGAGTCCCCACTTTCCTCGTCCCGGACAACAGTAATCAAACGCTGATAACCGGATGAATGGATTCTAGTTACACCTGATAAAAATCTCCCTTAAACCCATATTGTCTTCAGTAGCATAACCACCAGCCTAACCCTTACCATCTCCTACACGGAATGTGACAGCAGCTTACTAACTTGCTTCCTCGTCTCCAGCCCAGCTCCTATATCCAGCCCCGAGACATCACAATTCTCAGTACTTTTCTAATGAACAAATCCGATTGTATCTTAAAAGCCTTTGATAAGACCCTATGGCCAGTGGGCCTAACACAAACTCCTTCATGTGGGCCTTAGGCCCTTTATTGTCTGGTCTGATCTCCACTAGAGTATTTAAAACATTTTGAATAATGCTTTATAATCTCTCTTTTGATAAGTGCCTCAAAGACAGAAATGTCATATTCACCTGCCTATCCCCAAACCCTCATCCAAAGACTAGTACACAACCAAGTTCAAGAAATATTAGTTGGTTCGATGCATGCTTTAGTAAAGCTTTTCTTTAGAAAGTTAAAAGATAGCCGCCTCCATGTCACTGTGTCGTATCCCGAGCTGAGCTGGGAAGCACTCTGAGTGGAAGAAGGCAAGTGACGGAGATGAGCCACGGGTCACTGTGGGACTGCACCGCCAGGCAGAACGTGCTGTTCAGTATGTGATGTGCCCTGTAAGCTAGAGAGTCTCTCCCTGTGGTAAACACACCAGACCTCACAGGGTGTGCACACTAGACAGGCTCTGTCCTCCAAAAGACTGCCCTTGTCCAAACCTTCTGGGGCTGTGCCCCAAGACGCAGTTTTTACGAGAAGCTCAAAAAGTCCAGTCTCATTTGTTTGTCAACATACCATATTTTGCCACGTATAACGTGCTCTCGTGTATAATGCGCACCCACATTTTTGGCCCAAACTTTCAAGAAAAAGAATCTTTTGTTTTAACTCAATTTTTGATTTATAATTAGAAGCAAAACCAATGATCATATTCCAGGGTACAGTTTTGCATATGGACATCATTATTGCTTTCTAGAGTTACTGTTAACATATAAGCATAAATAAAAGAATTAAAAACACTTATATAAATATCGAATTAGTACTACTCCTATATAATATGCATCCTTATTTTTCCCTCAAAAACTTGGGCAAAAAACTGTGCATTATACACGGCAAAATACAGTAGTTCTTTGTGGACTCAAACTGTATTTCCAGCCTGATTATCCAATATACTGAGTTGGATTCCAAATGACTTAAAAAAAAATTCGCCGCCAGCGACACTGCTAAGACTGCGTGGCCACTTGTTTACTAACCCAGACGGGGATCTCCACAGGGAGGACCCCCAAGCTGGGGTGCAGCAGGGGCACCCCCCCTGGAACCCGTGGTACGGCCGCCCAAACGGACAGTTTTGAAGAGGGTAACACTGACCTGGAGGGTAAACGTTAGCACAGTTTGAGAGGAAAGAGTGTGTCCTATATGCACTGCTGGTGAGCAGGCATTTACACTTGTGCATCACTGGTACGTGCCCAGGGACACCTGGAGACGCCTGGGCCGGCACCTGCTCTTTGGTGTGAGTGCGTGTGCACGGGCCGGCAGGGGTGCGCCCCAGTCCGTCTGAGCGCCTCACCATGATGCTCTTGTACATGTTGCCGTTGTTGTCCTCCACGCTGATGCGGATTATGCAGGAGTCCTCGAGCTGCTGGTTGTACACAGGGGGCGGCGCTGTCGAGGTGATGGAAGTCACGGAGACGGAGCGCTTGTGGACCTTGGGGTTGTTGTTGCAGGGCGGAGGGGAGGACAGGGGGTTGGCGAAGGACGACACCCCTGAGGAGCTGGTGTCCATGGAATGGATAGAGGAGCAGGATGAGGACGACTCGGAGAGCTGCAGGAGGAGCACAAACCAGAGGGGCAGGGACTGTTAGAACCTGGCCGACAGCGTGCGTCCCAATTCTCAAGGCAGAGCTGCCGAGACTGACTCATTTCAGTGACTTCCTCCAAGCAGCCCACCACTCAGAAGCATCTCGTCTCTCCGGTAGGCACCCCCAGGGCAGATGCCAACCAGAGACTCAGTACTTGACCCAATCACCCTGCATCTGTGTGAGGGACGGGGATCTCTCAGGTCCTGTTATTAGCTGCTCTGAGGCAAGTGAACCAGCAGATGGCAGCAGATACCAGAAACTAGAGACAACATGGGTTCCCAAAGGAAGCCTTACCAAAGTTTATCCCATCCTGCTTGCCCTGGGTGGGAATGGTGCCTGAGATCCCACAGGCGGCACTTCTATCCTGACCCCACTTCCCAATCAGACTTTGTAACAGGCGAGAAATGTTGGTATTTTTAGAACATTCTAAGGCAGGCCACAATAGACAGCCCCAAGTGAAATATTGGTCCTGAAAAAGCCCCGGGAGGCCGGGGGCCCACTCCCTGTCCACTGCTGAGGGTCCCAGGCCAGAAAGAAGACAGTCGGCAGTGCCACTTGGACGTGTCCCCAGTTCCCTGGGTCCTGTGGCCAGGCGCACAGAGCAAGGGCCTGGCTGGCAGCTGCCGGTAACGTAGTGAATGAACTTGAAGGGACACTGCATCCCATTGCCTCGGTGATAGTTACCACTCTGGGGGTGTGATGAGCTCTCATCTGGCTTGAGAACCGAACACAGAGCCCTCATCGCAAAGATGAGGGAAGTAAGGGAACAGAGTCTCGCCCAAGGGAACACAGCCTGCGAGTGGCCCTACCACTTTCCACATCTGCTTCTGGAACCAAGTACGCGTTTTCCGGTTGTTCATCACACCAAGGACAATTAAAGACTGAGGTGCTGCACCAATGTGCTTTCTGATCAACGACGTCGTTTTCTACGAGCAACACCGATAATCAAAGACGCAGGACGCTCCCCTCAGTCAGTGGCGTTCCAAAGTCATAACACTGAATTGTTCTGAGCATCAGCTGGTGTTGCAGAAAATGACAAATAATTTCTCCAGAGTTAAGCCAAATATACCACTTAATCCTATCAAATAATCTGCAAGTCGTTTAAAAAATAAGTAACATTCATTTTCTTCGCACCAGCTCCCTTTTCCATGGAAATGGAGCACAGAAATGTAGCTTTCTGAGCGCCTGGCTTCCATGGACAATGGAGTCTACTCCACTGTATTTCCTACGAACGTCTTCCTGCGGCTCAGCCACTCAGTGAATTCTACTGCGTGACTAGTCTACCTGGAGCCCAGCCAGCTGATGCACCAGCTCTGAGGCGCCGGGGTCAATAGCTGGGGCCCTGCCATACAGGGTTCAGTTACATTTCCCCCTCACGTTCCCAAGGGCACCCACTAGTGTCTGGGCGCCGGGGCTGACTGGCTGATAGTGGGTGGCTGGCAGCCGACCGGCTGACGGTCACCACGACGGTCGCCCTGCCTGCCAGCGCACCGTGATGGGCACCCACCACCAGGGGCTCCATGTCCCAATTACGTCAAGTAGTTCGATTCACATTTTGACAGATTCAGTGCTGCAGGTCAAGGTCACGGAGAATGACCACACTCCTGGCTTAGGGAAACCTCTGAGAAAATGGCTGTAGGCGTTTGCTGAGGTTTTCCCTAAATTAGGAAAATGTTCCCTGGGTTTCAAAACAGAAAGGTGAGAGATGCAGCGGGAGCGGCCTGGCTCCTGTCAGTCTGAGGGCCCGGGGCAGGTGGCCTTCCTGCCCTGGCTGCTGTGCGACGAGGCCCCCTGAGGACCACCCCCCCCCTCGATTGCTGCTGTGGTTGTAACAGGACGTGGCACAGCGCAGACCCCTTGCAAAATGGACATAAACAACACAAAGGGATTGTCACCAACACACTGCCTCTCTGACCTGAGCACAACCAAAGGGCCAGAAGTCACGCACACAGCACGTTTGGTGGCCAAAACCTCCCCAAATGGTGCAAATTTTAGTCACGTCCAAGTTGATGTCTTTGATCCTAGCTCGGTGACTAACAACCGAAGCAGACATGCATGGAAGACTAGGCGGGGTCTTCTGCCTCCTTTTCACTGACCTCTGCAGTGTGGAAAATGGAGACTCTCCGTGGGCATTCTTTCATTACTTCTCATCACTGTCCTTTTGGGGGGCGTGGTAGCTTGTGTCACTGTCACCAACTCCTTTCCCCTCTGCGTCCGTGCCCTTGCCCTTTGACTCCCCAGTTCCTCCCACGGCCAGGGGGGTACAGTTCCCTGCCTCCTCTAGTCAGCCACCTTTATTTGTGGGGATTTGGCCACATGGTTTGCTTTGGCCGATAAAATACTGGAGGTAACGACCCAGGTGAAGGCTTCCTGTGTGCTCATAGGGCTGGAACCGCCCTCTGTTCACCTGGGGAGCCCTCACCCCCAGTAAGAATAGAAGGCAGACAGGGCAGGCCCAGCCCGACCGGAAGGAACCAGCCTGCTGCACGGCACGGTTGCGGTGAAAGCCTGACAGAGACGAGCTGAGACGCCGGAAGCACACACGTCTCCGCTCTTAACTTTTCTGCTCCTTTGAAGAAAATGCTACATCTCCTGGACAAAGTGTGGCTCATGTTACAGGCTACACCCCACCCCCCGCCCCCGCCTCTGCATGTGGGTGCGAAGCGACCCTGCAGAAGCTGGAGCAGCAAATGGACCCACATGCCCCTTGCTTTCAGACCTGAATCTCTGAGGAACGAGTCCCCAGGCAGAACCGCTCCTGACACCTCCTGTCCCCGTGTCTGAGTTAGGAATTAGGGGAGGGACCGAGTACCTTTTTCTGAGGCTCATCGGGCGTGTCCATGGGCGTGATGGAGCTCTCCTCGGCCTCCGAGTGGTTGGACTCGCAGGATGACACGCTGACGGAGTCCATGCTTTCGCCAGAGCTCCCGCTGGCGGTGGACTTGGGCTGCTCCTTGGTGGGAGTGCTACTGGTGATAATGTCCGACCCCAGAAACAGCCTGCAGAGAGCACAAGGCCGGGTCAGGCACAGATAACGCCCCTTGTTTATGACAAAATCATAAGCATGTCATTGTGTAACACAATACCACACTCACGCACCCCATATGACATTTTAAGTGACATGTTCAAATTAAAACTACGAATTATCACACCCCTATTATTACCCGACCAACCACACTCTGGCAGGCCTTACTTCTGCCGGGCCCGGCATTTTTGTGTTAATTAAGTCCTTGATGTTTTCTCAATCCTGCGTGCCCTGTCATTGTTAGTTTAGGAGAACATTTGCCACAAAGTTTCTAACAGATCACAGTAAACATCTTGTCCCAATAGATCATTTCCAACCTCAAAGAACACCCAGGGTGCTTAGCAGAATAAAGGGCTGTATTGATCTGAAGTCTTTCTAGGTCAAGGTTCTCCATTTTTTAGCAGTCTGTGGGCCACTCGGGCAGGATCAGAAAATGGACTCGTCATGGAATGAACGCCATGAGGCTGCGGACGACTGGCCCTGAGCTGGACGAGAAAGCGAGGAGGGAGGCAGGCCCTGCTCCCCACAATCTGGTGAACTGCAGTAACCGCAGTCTCCTCGCAATCAACAACTGGATGAGAAACATTAAAACATCTTTTTAAACTTGGGCAAGATAGTCAGGAAAACCCCCACGGGCCAGAAAGGAAAGGAAAGCTGAAAACCAGAAGCACGTGGGCCAATTCTGCAGCGGGTCTGGATGCGGAGTGGGAGGTGCCAATCTTGGCAAACTGGAGACATGGATTTTGACACACACACTGGCCCGAGATGAGGGCTGCTTCTGCACGAGGAAGGGAGCTGAACTGAGACCCCTTACGTATTCGGAGCCAGGACCCTCAAAGGGCTGTACCCTCAGTAAAAAGATGGGCTAGAAAAGCAGCTTCCTGTTGGCACAGGAGACAGTAGGGCAGCTTCTCTGTCCTTGGTGAGCCTGGGGGAAGAAAGTGTCTCTCTGGAAATCATGTGTGCACTCAGCCAGCACCTCACTCAGATCTGCCACCCACACGGTCGAGGAACTCCAGGCCAGCGATACTTCTGAGTAAACTAGTTTTTTTTTTAAAAATCCTTTCTGCAAAAATAAACCTTCAACTCAGGCTACAGAGAATTCCCTGATAAAAATGAGCTCACAATACAAAATTGTAAAATACACACCAGAAAATAATCCTACCCAAAGAGAGAGTCAACACGCATAACACACAGCAGGTTTAGACTCCTGAGAACTTCAGATACAAGAACTGTCAAAAAAAAAAAAACCCCTAATACTTTATTCATTCATCTGACAAATATCTGAGTGTCTATAATGGACCACTCTATAAGTATATTTAAAAAATATTAAAGATATAAGAAAAGAAATTGCAAACAGGTTTTAAAAGCAAGATACTCTGGCAAATGTAACTTGAAAATTTTTTCACTTCTAGAGTAAAAAACGTAGTGATTTAAATTAAAGACTCAGTGCAAGGGTTAAGTAAGTGTTGAAGAGGAAAATGTGCGTGAGATGATAGATCTGAAGAAAGTCCTCAGAAATAAGCATCCAAATACGAGACACGGAAAATCGCACAGGTTAACAGACACAGAGAACAGAGTGAGAAATGCCCGCATGTGCAGGGAGAGTCTGGCAGGAGCCGGTTCAGAGAACGGAAGAGGGACCGAATCCAAACAGACAGTAGTTGCGAAGGTTCCAGAACTACCAAACCGTGTGAATCCCCAGATCCAGAAACCACATCTAAAATGAGGTAAGTAAGACTGAACCCCCACTTACACTGCATAATAACACATAAAAGAGAGAAGAAATTCTTAAAAGCAATTGGGTGGGGCAATAATACAAAGGGACAGTAATTAAACAGTTATCAGACATCTTAAAAGCAACCACAGAAGTCAGAAAACATGGAACGATGTCATCACAGTGCCAAGTAAAAAAAAAAAACCAGCCATTCTCGAATTCTATACCCATCTGACATAATTCCAAGAGGGAGGGCGGAATATTGCCCCAGACAAAAGCCGACAGGGTTCCCTGTGAACAGACAACCTGGAAAGAAGTAGTGAAAGGAGGGGAGGAATAAGAAGCAGGAAGGAATGGCATGTCCCCGAACAAGCACTGACTGTGTAAAACACTAACAGAAACACTAAGGATGACCTTGATTTTTATTTGGTATTTTAGGAATCGTAAGCTCAAATTCCAAGACCTGGAGCATGCTTTTTCTGCCTCCTCCCCACCCCTCCTGCCTCCTTTTCCAGGTCACCCCCTTCCTGGGACGTCCAAGTACGACTGGGGCTGGGCAGGGAGGGCTGCACTCTGACCACAGTCCATGGAAGAAGAACGACCCTGCTGTGGCCCGTCTCCATGGGGCACAGCAAGGTCCTTCCAGTGCGGGTCCACGGCCAGTTGTCTGAGTCTGTGGCTTAGAATGACACTGTTCAAAGACCAAAGGTTTCTCCAGCTATGCGATTTAGTGAGGTCGTTCTGCTCTGTAAAGGTTAATTCTAATTCAATACTAGGCGTCTCCAACCTTCGAACAAGGCCCCCCTCCCCCCAGGGCCCCAAATACTCTCCAGCCTCTTTGAGTAAATGCATCATTAAATGTAGGGAGAGCAAGAAACCACATTTCATATCTGTAAAAATGCTAAGGTCATAAAATCTTTTGAAAATATACAAAAATATCCTTATATGTATAATACAAAAAATAAGATGGGGACTTTTGACCTCTTTTATTCAAAATACATGTTCAAACTCAACCATAGATACCAAGGATTAAACTTGAGCATCTTGACAAGGTTCCACTAGTGTCAGGGGCGTGTCAGGGCATGTCAGGGGTGTGTCAGGGGCGTGTCAGGGGTCCACCGCACTCTGCGCAGGGCTCGGAGCCCTGGCGGTCCTGCCTCTCCTGGACCTCCTGGGACACCGGCAGGTGAGAGCATCCACGCGGTGTATGTGCGGATTCTCGGCTGGGGCAGTTATGGATGAATGGTGTGCAGTGGCAACCCCCTGAGCACAGGGAAGAAAAGCAAGGGGCAAAGGTGGGAGCACGTGGAACAGGATCTGCCTGTGTTGCGTGATGCCAAGAGGCCCCGCGTCCCTGCAGGCCGTGGTCAGGGAGCCCGGCTCCCAGTGCAGCGTCGACCTGACCGGCCGCCCAGGCGTGGTCAGGCCTTTGGGCTTTCGCGGAACAAAGCTTGTTCCCCCCACAACTGCAGCAATGAAAAGACAGCAAGATCCTATGGGAAAATTCCATAAAGGTGAGTCCAAAAGCCCATAAAGCTAGCATTCAGGAGGGCCCAGGTGGACATCGAAGCAGAGAGAGGTTGGGCAAGACATCAGGATTACCTTAAAACTGCTTCCTATAAAATCACATGCTCCACCCTAACCCTCAAATGCCCCAGTCACCCGGTAGACATCAGGTAGGAAGGAGCCTGAGCAGCTTCTGAGAGCACGCCGTCCACGCCCTGAAAGGGCCTTTGTGCGCTCCACTGGGGACATGGCCATGTCCAAGTTCATATACCATCCCTGCCTTAGAGTGACCCACTGAGGTAGGTGGAGAGACAGTGCAGAAAAATATCAGAAATGTATAAAAACACTCAGAATCCTGACCCTACCCCAAAAGAAAAACCAGATTCAAAAAGTAGTAACCAAGTTGTTCCATAAACAATATCGGTAGCTCTCCATGGAGAACGAGGTGCTATTTGGGGCATTACGATCCCGCTGGTCCTGGCAGCAGCCTACAGAGGGGTCACTGTTACCCTCGTTTCACCAACCACAGAAGAGAAACTCACACAGCAAGTAACTGGACGGGCCGGCACGTGCCAGCCAAGCGTGGCTCCTAAGCCCTCTCTGCCGTGAAAAAACTGGCCGATATGCCAGTCACTGTCCGTGCTTTGCCCTGGCCAAAGCTGGTGTGTCACTGAAAAGACGCGACACAGGTTTATATCCTCAGAGGAGAGGGAGGTCTCGGCAGCGGGAGAATGAGGAGTAGCGCGAGCAGGACAGAGGAGAGACAGTTCGGGACAGGAGGTCAGGGCTGCGGAGGCGCTGCGGACCCTGCAGCCTCCTGAGGGTCACTGCGGGGACCGTGGATTTACTCAGAGGAGACAGGTATACGAAGAGGTATAAGAGGAGGGCACTGAGCTGAGCAGACCGCCATGAACACGGGGAACAAGGCTCCCCTTTCAGGTGGCTGACATCTATGGAAGAGAGAGCCAGGTGATTGGCAGTGACTGGGGTGGACAGCTGAGTTAGAGGGGTGCAGTCTCACGAGGTGACATTTTGCCTATGTTGACCATGGCGAAAGGGCACGCCAGGCCAAAGGAAAAGCTACAGCAAAGGCCCCAAGAGAGCCTGCTGGGTTGTGGGGTGGCAGAGAGACGGGTGAGCAAGGTGGGGTGATGGGTGAGGGGACCGTGGTCAGGAAGGCTGGGCAAGCTGGTGCAGGGCCCAGTAAACGAGGATAAGGAGTCCGGGTGCTATCTGAAAACAAAGCCACTGGAGCTTTTCAGCAAGGAAGTCATACAACCTGGGGCGCATTTTACAAGGCCACCGCACTCTGGTGGAGAACGTACTGCTGGGAGGGAGCTAGGCAGGAAGCTAGGAAGGGAGCTGCTAGACTGCCCGAGGCGGGAGGCATGGTGGTTCACAGCGGACCCCACAGTGGGGAAGAATGAATGGACCCCCACTGTGAACGACAAAGAGAGGAGCTCTTTAACAAGTGAGTGAATTGTTCTTCACTTTTCCCCTGGCTCAGGGGGACTGGGTTGAACACACTTCCTGTCCCCAACTCTGCCAGGACCCCCTCGAGGCGCCCGGGGCCCCTGAGAGACACTCACAGGCTGAGCCTCTTGACCATGCTCTTCCGAGGCTTGGGCGAGGTGGCGCTGGCATCAGGCACCGCTTCGATCTCACAGGACAGGGCGTAGCTGGGGAAGAGAAGGGGGCGCCGGAGGTCAGAGCTGAACAACTGAAGCGCAGATTTACACTCACATGATTTGCTGGTTTTATTTTAGAGGCAGGTTCTGATTATCCAAAGTAAAGACATATACTGTTGTTCTATCACCCATGTCAGAAGGTTCTGACTTAATGGCCAGATCTTACAGATTTGCATTATGAGCCTCTGCCCCGCACCCCCGTACCAGCCTCCAACACGTGGATCTGTGTTCTGTGGCAACATCGAAGGCCGATGCCGATCTCTTTCCTGATCACGCTCATCCCACTGCCAAGTCAGGGGAACAGTCATCTCTTCACTGTCTCCCTCCTGCTGCTTTGTATGTGCGTGCACATACTTATCTTTTCTGCAAGTTTCTTTGAAAGAAGAGACTTGTAAACTACCTAATCTTCAGCGAACAGAGGCAGTTACATTACTGATAGAGATACATCAATATGGTTTTTAATTGCCAAAACCTCTTCAATTAAAAGTGCCCCAGATTCAGACATCTCCCAGCCAGGCAGACAGAAATCCCATAAACACAAGAGGAACTGATATCTGACGAGAAAAGTCTTCTGTGAAAGCTTGAACTCCAGGTAGCAGATGCACTGGTTCTGGGCGGGTGAGGAAGGGTAAGTGTGGTGATTAGCTTGGTAACTTGCAATTATGTGTACATTTTTTTGAACCTAAAGATATGTACAAGTATTTGTTCAATAGAAGGCAGAACCAAGTCATTGATATGGGAGTTATTCAAATATTAACTTAAGCTGTAGGGATTTTTATAAATTGCAAGAAAAAAAGGATATGTTTAACCAAGATTCCTTTAATCATTAAAAAGTCACCTGCACAGCTGATGCTCTGAGCCTGGACTTCGATCCAAACCATGGCCCAGCGGTATGTTCCATAGGGGAGAAGGGTGGACACAGAGAGAAAGCTAATTCACACAAGTGATCATCGGATCAGAAAACGCAAACAGGCAATACCTGCTTTGTTTTCTGCATAGCAGAGGAAACATCTTCACCGAGGCGGACTCTGAGTGAAGCAGAGGTTTTGTTTTAATGTAACAGGACCGAGCTCTTCTGGGATTTAAAAAGACCTCAGAAATCACCTACCTTTCAAATGGGGAAACTGAGGTTTATACAGGTTACATGGTTTGCCCAACATTAGACAGCCGCCTTCAGAGCTTGGGCTACAGAGTCAGCAGACCTGAGTGCGAGTCCTGACTCTCTCACTGATTAGTTACGATACTCTCTAAACCCCATTCCGTCACTGACAAAATACTTAACGTGCTGTCGATTTTGCTGTGCCTGGTAGAGCGTTCAGGGAAACCCCTTGGTCTGCAGTGGGGGGCCAGCGAATACTCTCCATGTAGGACCAGGGAGTAAGCAGTTTAGGCTTCGCAGGCTGCATGGTCTCTGTAGCAACTACTCGGCTCTGCCTTTACGGCATGCAAGCCCCATAAATAGATGTGAACGGATGGGCTGGGTTCCAATAGAGCTTTATTTATGGATAATGACATTTGAATTTCAAATGACTGCTCCGTGCAGTGTGCTGGATGCGGCCTGCGACTCTAGTCCTGCACGGTTAAGACACGCCATCGCGGGGCCGACACTCAGACACTAGAGGTGACATTCCTGTCCACACTCGTCCACCACTACTGTGAAACATGCCTCTTGTGTTCCAGCCACACCAGAGCCCTCAATGGTCCTCCAAATGCCAAGCATGCCAGGCCACCAAGCCAGGTCACGTTATTCCCTCTGTCTGGAATGTTCTGCTCCCATTCTCCTGGAACAGCCTTCTCTCTGCTGCCCAGCCCCACCCAAATGTTAGCACTTTATGACTATCTTCCCTATTTCCACCCATCCTTGGCCAAATGAATTGTTTTTGCCCAAAGGTCCCGCAGCATTTTATTTCAATCCTTCATGAGCCTGGTTTATTCTCTGATTAACGACAGCAACAAATATGGTGACAATGGTGGTGGCAGTGGTGGCAGTGGTGGTGGCGGTGATGGAGGTGGAGGTGATGGAGGGAGAGGTCAAGGTTATGATGGTGGTGGTAGAGGTGGTGGTGGTGGGGGAAGTCAAGGTGCTGATGCTATGATAAACACTTTAACAATGTTTTTTCCAGTATTTCATTTAATCCTCACTAACAAGTATCTCATAGAAGCACACCCTAAAGGTCAGGAAGAATAAGTGACTTGTTTAAGGCTACAAAAATAAGTAAACGTAGAGCAGGAATCTGAAAGCACATCTTCCGATGCCATCAGTTCAGCGCTTCCTGCTACATCGTTACCCTTTGGAAACCGAACGCCTGGAACCTGCAGCTGCGCACTCCACAGCTGGTGAGTGAATGGCCACACGAGGACCTGGACGCCGTACTCCCCTTGCGACACCGCAGCCCTGCCTTGGTGGGCAGTGTGTCCACCCACCTCTCCTCCTCTGTCAGCAGCTGCTGCCTCTGGAACCACTGGATGAACTTGGGCTCCGGGGCCATACAGTAGCTGTTGCAGGCAGATTGTAAGAGCTTTATTTGGGCGATCACTTCAAATTCCTAAAGAAGACAGAACACCAAAAAGAAAGAGTGAGTAATAAGGCCAACCCAATACACCATTTTTCAATATGAAAAATGCCACATTTGGAAAAACAACAGAGAACATCATTGAGGAGGGCTCCGGAGCACTGCCCTCCTTAGAAATAAAGTAGCTGAGTAACTCCTAAAATTCCAACTCGGAATCTTTCAAGTACTTCTATGCTTTTAATTGTCAATCCTCCGTTCTTCCCAATAAAGCAACTCATATGAATAAAACCAGCTACCAAAGCAACTCAAACTAGTTACTGTCCAAAGTCTTAGCAACTTTCCTTTTTTCTTTTCCATTTTTATTCTAAGGATAGAAAAGTTATTTTTAAATCCAATACTTCCAAAATGTCTTTAAATTTTCTATGTCTATAGCCTAAAAGATAAAAAAAAAAAATAAGTCCAGAACTTCCCAAGGTCCCCACGTCCGTCTTCTCCAACCCTTTCTCCTCAACAGATGCCTCATGGTATGGCTGAATATCTAAACATTTCCAGGCCTTGTAAACTTGAATGTTTAGATTTCCTGAATCCTTGGGTTGTTGCTACTCCAGGACATCATTTAACTAAGTCTTTTAAAGCTCACAAGAGAAGCAAGCATGTAATTATGTCCGAAATTATTTATACTTCTTTAGATGCATCAATAAAGATTTTTATTTTGGAGTAAGCAATGGGTATAAGCCTTAGCCTTAGATTTTACACTCAAACTTTCTTGAGAGTTTTCACATGCTAGACTTGAAAGGAAAGAGATGACAGTCCAGGGTCGTTCTGAAGTTAAAGGACAAAGGTGGGTAAGTGTGGAGGCAACAACAATCTGTTCTCTCATTACAGGACGTGACAGAAGTAACTCAGCGAATGGAGGATCCCAAGGTGTCGACATGCTATCAATGACCTCAGTCCTTGGGCTCAGTATCCTCAAGGTAACTGTATCATCAGGCGACAGAAGTGAGTATATTCTGCCAAGGACAGGAGAGTAACACCTGTCTCGGTGAGTAGATCTTGTCACTAGTGAGCTCAGCCTGCTTAGCTCCTGAAATTCTGGCTTTAACTCCAGGGTCGTTTTCTCCTGAACGTTTCTCTGACCCCACAGGTTGGGGGGATATATACCCCTCCTTCACGCCCGTCTAGTACCCGCTACTGCTGCTCACCAGCCCCTAATCAGGTAGCATTAAAATTGCCTACTCATGTGCCCACCTTCCTCCTGGACTGGGAGCTTTAGGAGACAAGGAGCTCTGTTTTTGTTGTGTTTGCTTTTGTTTCTGCTGCCACACCCAAACCTGCCATCGTTCGGAGCACCCTGACCCACGTTAGGTGCGCGATCAGTGTTTGTGGGATACAAGGATGAGTGAAAGACTGAAGAATGAGAAGAGTACTCTGGGGTGAAGTTAGTATTTTTCACACTCATCTTCCTGTGGGTCTTTAAAGTATCTATTTAAATGCACCCTGCTAACACTGTAGCTATAGCGAATTCTCAAAGCTCTCTGTTTTATCTTTTTTTAGTGCAGTGCAGAACTATTCCACTGTCCAAAAAAAGAATTAAAATTTATGTCGAACACCCTTTGCTATGCTAACAGGAAAGAAAAAGACTAATTATCCACATACAACCATGAAGACCCCTTCCTTCCCTGTCTCAAACAGAGCCATAAGAGGTAACTGTCTGTTAACTCTTCATCGTCATTTATTCTCATGAAACCCCTTCTCCTTAATAGGATGAATTATTGTTGAAGCTAATTGTGAAGAAGGACAGGGGAAGGGGATAAGGGAAGCCACGTGAGCTCTGCAGCGGCTGGACAGGATTGGAACCCTGGCTCTGCTACCGGGTGACTCTGCGCGGGTGACTTCATCTCTCTCGGTCACGGTCCCCTCACCTTTGAACTGGGGATGAAAAAAATCAACCTCTCAGGGCTCCTGGAGGGTAATGTATAGGAACATGGCAAGCTCAGAGGTGTATGACAAGTGTTTGGTAAATGCTAATTCATTTTTTCTACCTCTACAAAAAAAAAAAAACATGTCCCCAAGATCTCTACTTACCCTTCTCCTTTTCTCAAAGTTTATCAGCCCACCCTGAAAGAAAAAAAAAAAAGTGACAAACCAAACTACTTTGAGACACAGCCAAGGCCTAGGTCTTATTAAAATCAACCAAGTCATAATTATTAACACTATACTTATGGCTAGCTACTATGGAGGAAGAGAAGCATTGTTTGCTTCAAGAAAAACATTCTTTTAATAACGAAAGGACAGAATAGGCAAATAGCCTTCTCTTAAAATGTCTGAAAACAACCAAAAGAGTAATGATTGAGGAGTTACAATTCAGAATCCAAATGCATTTGCGTCCTGCAAAGCTGAGTTTCAATTCTTCATCCCCCAGCTCCCATTCCCAGTGGGCTAAATTTAACTTCTAAGCCACTGGCCACTCCCCACAAACTCCTAACACCAGTGAGCGTTTCCTGAGATACGCTGGGGCCGAGGACGTGAAGAGACATTGAGCTCAGGAGATGCGGCACGAATGAGCGGTGAATTTGGAGGCACGTACGTACTCAATTATGCTCCTCCTTCTCATCACAAAGGCTGAGCACGTGATAACCACAGAGGTGAGATAAACTTAACTACACACGAGCAATCCCTAAATCTCATTCCCAATACCCAATTTATTTCCCACTTAATACTTTATTACTATTACTAAGAAGTAGCTTGTTTGATGGGGTTCACCTCTTTTCCGGTTGAGAGAGGGCACACTTGCCTAAGAGTGGGTGCCTCAGAGAAAAAAATATGAAAAAAAAAAGGAATATTTGAAAACCTACAAACTGGACTGACTCCTTACCCCACCAGACAGAATGGAATATTAGGGTATATTACCACCTCCCCAAATCCAACTCAACATCAAGGTCTTGCTCAAACCCGCTCCTTCACAAGGTCCTACCATCTCATCCCTCACAGGGAACCAATCATGACCTCCGCTCTCTGAACGGCATTTGCGTTCGAATCCCCAAGTGTTCTGGCAGCCACTGCTGCTCTGCTGCCTGCCTTCCCTGGGGCTGTGAGCCACTCCGGCGTGACTCACCTCTGTGCTCCTGGGAGCAGCCAGCAGAGCACCTCATACACACGATGAGCCTGCAGTTCGTACTCAGAAAAGGGAATCTCTCCCCCGGGCACCCACTCCGCAGGCCAAGGGCCCACTTCTGCCACCCGCACGGCACTCACCTCGATGTGGTCCTGAAGAGCCGTGTCGAGCATGGTCAGGTCGGTCAGGAAGGTGCCCAGGTAGGGCACGGTGCCCTGCATCACGCCCTGAGAAGCAAGCACAGCGAAACCCTCTAGGTTGTTACCGCCACGCCTAGGACTCTGAAACCTCCCCACCGGAGCACCGGGCCCGCCGTGGACTACGGGCAGCGGCTCGCCCATGCGCACGTGGAAGCCGCGATCTTTGAATGGCCAGGTTGGGAGATTAACTAAGGACCAATTCAAGGCCTAATGTGGGCCATTACAGCTAATCCATGAATAAAATTGTGAAAATGCCTACACAAATAGCACAAGAACTCCATCAACTAGTATCTAACTTTCAAGGTCTTGAAAACCAAGCCCCAAAGCCGGGAATCAGACAACCGTCACTAGTGGTCACAAGGGGCTTATACTGTGTGAGCTCGGGTCTGAGACACCAGTTCTCTGTCATTGTGAGGGGACACAGGGGGCGGTCTGGAGGGGCCATCAGGGAGGGTGCCGGCCACCACACACTGGAGAAGAGTGCGGACCACATGGGGACAAGACGTAACTGTGCCCTCTCGGCCTAGACTTCATGACTCACTTTCAAAAAACAGAGGCGGGGGGGAAATCGTGGCTTCGGGGTGGAAAGCCTGGCAAACTCTACCTTGATCAGGTGATGAAGGCTAACACCCCGAGTGACACTGGGTGCATTCGCCCCCTGGACAAAACGCGGTGAGAATGTCACTCACCCGGGGACAGTTTCCCCCAAACCCACTCCTTCGGTCTAATGACCAGGAACACCACAGATGCAACCTGATTGTGGGACAGTCTCAGGACGGTCAAGGTCATGAAAACCAGGGAAAGATGGAGACACGGGCCCACACCGGAGAAGACCGGGGGACGTGACAACCGAATGGGCGTGGGGCGCTGGGCTGGCGCCCGGGAGGAAAGAGGACACTGATGGGCGAGTGCTGCGAGGCAAAGGAAGCCTGGGTTCCGGGCGGCAGTGGCCGCCGGTGTCATGTCGTCGCAGTGACAGATGTGCCATGGTCACGGAAGACGTCCACTGGGGGAAACTGGGCGAGGGGCTCAAGGAAACTCACAGGCTCCCCGGAACTTCTTTGTTAAGTTCCAGAATCAAAACGCTTATTTTTTAAAAATTGGCCCTTGGAAATCAAAGTAGAAATACTTCAACTGCAGGTCTGTACCATATTGACTTCATCAGATTTCCTTTGAAATCATCTCTGTTCTCCGTAGGGCCACCAAGACCCTAACTGTGTCGAAAAGAAAATGAAAGGGCATTTCCATGGTCACCTTATCCTCAAGTCCAGGGGCACTTAGGGAAATTCTGGAAAGAAAAGAGAGTCTCGGCCGGGCAAGGCCGGGCTGCGGGATGCAGCTGGCTGTGTCCTCAGCCAGACCTGCTCCAGGAGGTCACCCCTTGGAGGGCTGTGTCCTTCAAGAGCTCACTGTCAGCTGCAGTGACTCCTTCCCCGTCATGCACGCCAGGTCTCATCCTAAACCAAAATAATCTTCTTTTTTTTAAAGCTATTTTTAACTTGTCTTTGAACAACTAAGGGAGCCCAAAATGCTGTGAGTTTCTTACAGGCTTTAGGTTACAGAGTAGAGGCCTATCGTCCAAGAACACTCCCGACTGAGGTCCCTCTTTCCAAAGGAAGAGGAAACCGTCTCTGAGAACATGTGTAGCTGATCAGCCTCTGGTCTCCTCTCTCTGGTTTTCCCCACTTGGGGCTCAAAGTTAGGAAGGCTTCTCCGGTCAAGCTAAAGATGATAAGAACTCTCCTTCAGCCTGGAAGAGGGAGGTGTGACGGCCCAGGGCACTGAAAAACCGAAAGCCTTGGTCTGCCCTTGGGGTTAGCGAGGGGAGCTGCAAAATGCCTGCGGGGTCGGGACAAACGAGATCTCCAGGAACACAGACCAAGTCCTCCGGTAGGCAGACACTCTCTTTCTTCGGCACCCCTGTCCTGGGCCCCCTGGGTTGCGGTGTCCAGAACTGGTTACAGTAATGCATTCCCACGGGGGAACTGAGGCCCAGGAGGCCTCCAGGCCAAGGGAGCAGCGGCTCCTCACTGCAGGAGTGGACCGAGGAAGACAGCAGGAGGGACAGACGTCTACTAGCTGCAGACTGTTCCTCACCTCCAGAACAATTATCTCCAAAGAACATTGTGGTTTGTGAGTTTTGACTTCCTGCTGGGTCAATTGGGAGTAGGAACACCTTTCCTACAGGCCTCCCTGGGTTACTGAGAACTGGCGAGATCAGGGGGAGAAGAGAGGACCTGCAGGAAAGCGTGGACGCCCTGCAGACTGAAAGCGCCCGTGCCAAGCGGGAGCCCAGCTACCCACCCAAGGACGCGGCCCCGTGGCTCTCAGGGAAGAACGATGCCTGTGCATACCATATCCTTCTGCAGCTGAAGCCGCCTCTGAGTCCGCTTCTGGTTCTCTTTGACACTGCTGTCCAGGTTCGCAAATTTTGAGGTTCCTTCCTGAAAGAGAAGCACACACAGAGACGAGGATGGAGAAGGGCGATCCCAGAAAGAAGTGCGGTGGCATCTCGTGCTGGGTCCAGCCCCTATGCCCACCTGTCTGGACACCAGGAGAAATGAAGAGGCCTGCAGCGGGCTCCGGGCAGAGCCACCAAGTCCACTCTGGCTTGTCGCCAGTGGACTGTGTGTAACAAAACCTGGTGGCCTTGGATTGTCCTGTTCCCCCCTAATCTGTGATGAGAGCTCGGTTTGGTTGTAAAATCTATTGTCCATAGAAGGCAGGCAATCCCTAGAAGTGGAGACAATTTCTGCACACCCCAAATTCCGCTCAGAGCCATCACACATCCTGGAAATGGAGCGCTGTTCCTCTGTACATTTTGTGATTTCTATAATGCATGTGCCAGCGTTCTGCGAAAAGGGGCTATTTCTGTGGTTTTCTTAGCTAAATGAAACTCGCGTACAGGAAGTTCTCTGAGGAAGCCCAGCGCCACGGGGCCCGCAGACCTTTGCACATGCCCTGCTCTGCTTGCCCAGTTGGGCCACGCAATCTGCCGCCTCCAAGGTTCTGGAGGGTTACAGACCAGGGCTTCCTCCGGGCGCCTGGGGACAGGCAGCCCTCCTGTGCCTCCTCCGGTCTGTTGCACCAGCCACCTCTCAACCCTCCCACGTGATGGCTGATGTTGAGTTTGCTGACTGAGTGCGAAGTGCTTTCCGCTTTGTGGTTTCAGTCTTGTGAAGGTCACATTTTCCAGGAACCGTATGAATGGGAGACACATTTCACAGTTCAGTAGTGTGCAACTTGCACGTCAGTTTTCCCTGAGTCAGTTTCCCTGGGTTTATTCTACCTCCAGAGCATGTGACCTCTTGCAGGGAGGTGTCCATTATCTTCTGTCCCTCGCCAGCCTTATCCCAGGTCCAGGTCACCGCTGGGGACAGAACCCACAGTGACTTACTACCCACTTTAATTCTCCCTACGGCGATCGATCATTGGGAGCATTATCATTTAATAACCTCCTACTTAAAGTTTTTCCTGGGGATGAAGGGAAGCAGCCTAAAATGTGCCATCTCCTGTGCTCAGAGGGTGTGAGTCCACCCAAATTCTTGAAAATTTTCTTGGAGTGAGAAATCGAGTCTGACTTCAGGACGCGCATCCATCTGTTCCAGCAGGTCTTTCTGGCTCCCTTCCACTTTCTGGATCGTCGGCAGAGGAATTGTGCACAGAAATTATTGCAGATACACCTAAAATTCCTACCGAGGATTTCTGAAAAGTTAAAAGGTCCCTGACAACCATAGAAAAACAGAGATGGGAGGGTCCTTAAAAGAACACTTAGGAGAACTTCCTCCCTGGTGGGGGGACGAAGACCTGAGACCAGGAGCTAAAGACGAGCTGATGTCAGGACTTCAGGATCTCAGGATACGGAGAGCCCATCGCTGGCTGGAGAGCCAGCCGATGCAGTTCGAGGTGTCAGCTGAAAAGGCCACTGCCTGCTAAACCCAAACAGTTTCAGCTTCTCGCTCCCCAGCCCTCAGTCCTCTGCTCGGCAACGTCTCTCAACACCGATCCCTCGAAACTTCTCGAAGCTTTTCATAGGTTTTCTGAATGCGTCACTCTGGTGCTTTCCGCCTGCCTCTTTGCTGCTCCTGCTCAGACTTTCTTAGCGGTTCTTCTTTCTGCCAAAGTCATCTTCTTGTGTTTTGCTAAACTCATGTCTTCGAGAATACTATCCAGTCCCAAGACCTTAATCGTCACCTGTGTTTGGATGGATTCCGGAGCCCTCCCTCCACAAACTTCCCACTACCTCTCGCTCATCTGGCCCTCCCCCTTGTGCAGAGGTCTCACCACAGACTCACTTTCTCTTTCCATCTTTAGAAGAGTTCGGCTGCCCTCATCCATCCTGTTCCTGGGCGTCAGGGGGCATCTTCTCCTAGGTGCTACCCAGGCATTGGATCCTTCCCCATGTGTGCAGGCTGAATTATAGCTCAGAAGCTAATGGTAATTATCTGAATAGGTCTTCGCAGTCTCCTGCTCCTGCTCCGACCCTAGTGTGTTTGGGGGTTCACCGAACAATAATACATCTGTACCAGAGCCAAATTCTTGGGCCTTCCTAGAAGTTGTCCGAATCAATGCAACCAGGAAGAATTCTCACCAGGAGTCCCAGGAACCAAGGAAATTTAGTGGGGTTCTGCTTCCCTGATGTTCTGAAATATGTAGATTCTATAATGTACCTCCTTAGAACAATCTAAGTTCCAGAAATCATATGGAGGTAACAGGTGTAAGATAATCTTTAAGAAAAATAAAAACATTTTTCCAACGAAAGGAAAACAATAGATTCTTGCTAATTATTATGTTCCCTCAGTATTATAGACTCGGCTCACTACACCTATACAGAAGTACAAGAGAGACATTTAAGACTAAGGTTATCCAAAAAAAGACAATGACTCGGATATCCAGCCACGAACCAGGTAACTCTGGGAGTGGTACGTTAGACACAGAGGCTGGCAGCTTTGCAGTGGTTCTTTTGAGAACCTAATTACCTTGGTTTCGTTTTTTTACAGTTGTCCTGAGAATTAACACCCAGAATTACATATTTCATGTTAAAGACTGATCAACAAAGACGACCGGAAGGACCCGCGCGTCCATACGCACGCCCCAAACATCCCGCTATCATTCACGAGAATGCACAGGCTCCACGAATCCCTGGCCAAGTTTTCCATTTCTTTGGGATCCGGGCCACACGGAAGAAATTTAACTTAGAGCCCCGGGGTAAACTACGACCGTTAAGAAGGGTTTATGGGAACTTGAATGCCTGGATATGGCTTTGTCTCTGAGGTTTCAGCCAGACTGTCACCAAGCAATGAGCTGCGCAGTCTTCCATTTATCTCCTCTGCAAGGATGACTCAGACCTGCTGTGATGTGAACCTGTGGCTCCAGTTAGTCTCACTCTGTGTCACTGACAGGGAGACCGCGCAGTCCTCTCCCTCCATCCAGATGAGTTTCCGTCTCAAGTCTGCAAACCCAGAGGGGACGTGAGGCGGGGAGCAGGAATGTGGTCCCAGCCGTCATTGTTTACTGTGCTGTTAAGCAGTTTGGCCCAATCCAAAGTCAGACTTCAGCATACACTGCCTTGCTCACACCGTCTTCTCCGAGAAGGGCTGATAGTGGGCACATTGTTAAAGTCACGTGAATTGTAAGGCCCATCCAGGCATGTGGTCAGACACAGTCTCTGCACAGCTGCTGCATGCCAGGCACTGCCTCAGGCATTAGGGATGTGCCAGTGAGGAAGACAAACCCAGTCCCTGCCTGAAAGAGGCTTACAGGCCCTTAGAGAGACAGCTGAAATACACAGGCAATTCCAGCGGAGCACAGGGAAGTGCAAGGTCAGAGGAATGACAGGCTTCCTCTGGAGCACTCGCAAGGAACCTAATCAGACCCGAGGGTAATCAGGGAGGTTTCCAGAAGGAGGGTCTGCACAGAAGCATGAAGGAGGAGGAGGACTTAGAAGGAGAACAGTCAGGGAGACGGGAACAGATGCCCTCAGAGGCAGTCCTAATCTAACGGAGATCCCTGGGATGCCTTTTCTGAGTCACCCCCCCCCCACTGGACTTTCACTCCTATTCCAAGTGCCTGCCCTAAGTTTACATAAGCAGTTTACACTCCATTCATTTTCATTTGTTATGCATACTTTGGTTTCATATGTACATGACTTGCCAACTGCTAAAGATAGCTTACATTTGCATAGCGCTTTCAACTATTTTATCTTAGTTCATCTTCAAAACCCTTCTCTGAGGTCAGTCGACTAAATGCTATTATTGTCTCCAATTGACAGAAAAGGAAATGAAGGACAAGGATCCCATTTTCTAATTGTCCAGTTCAGGGCTTCCCACTGTGGGGCCCACCTCCTACTGTTTTATGAGTGTCCACTTCTCTCCCTCCCGCATGAGTCTAATCTCCTTGAGGTCGGAGGCTGCCTTCGACTTGGTGGCTCCTCCAATGCCTACTACGTAGTGAGTGCTCAGTAATATTTGTTGAGTTACTGATTTTCCTTCTCTGCGAAGCTGTGCCTGATCTCCCCTGTCCCCTCCTCCCAAGAGGTCCGAAGAAACACTTGTATGCCTAAGTGACAGAAGTGCGGGTTTGGCGGTCTCACTAAGCTGTATCCACACTCTAGCTCCACCACCTACCAGGTGTGTGACGGAGGACACATTCCTTACATGAGTCTTGGCTATCTGCAAAATGAGGCTACTAAGATCTCCTTTACAGAAATGTTGTGAAGACAGTATCTGCTCACAACCTCTTGTGTGCACCTTTCATTGCTCTGACTCATTCTCACTGTCTTTATCCACCAACTAGATGGTGAACTCTGGAAAACAGGATCTAGCTTAGCCATCTGCCTACTCCTGGAGGCTGATCTGACGCTTTACAAATATTAGGCACGCAACAAATGTCCAGAGCAGTAAAACGAACCACACTATACCTTTCCCGTAGTGCAGAAGTCAACACTCATTTGGCGTTCAGTAAATACTGCTGACTGAGATTGTGCAACCTAGTCCAAATAAAGGATGTGGAATTGCTGGCTTGGCCTCTGTCATCCTAGAAGATGTTTTGCTGAGAAGAAATATTCCAGGGCCTCTCACCCGCCTCACGGCCAGCGCTCGGTATTTGCAGAGCAGCTCATTAAAGAGGGACACACAGCAGCGCGGGTTTCACAATCTGGTTGCGTAACTGTGAGGCCAAGGAGCTGGACTTTTGAGTTTCCTCAGCGCCCGGCTTCTTAGATCAGGCAGTAAGAAAACAAAACACCTGCCTACTGGTCACTTCAGACTTTCTCATGGTACGGCAGGAATTCAAGGAGCCTCCACGGGCCACTCTTCCGGTGAATGCATTCTGGGGCTGTCAAGAGCTAGCCACACCCCTACCCAGGGCCTTACCTTCATCAGTAGCTCCCGGCTGGTCAAGTGGTTATTATGGTCCGAGAAGATATCCGAAAGCTCTTCAAACATTAGCATTCGGTCTCTGCAAGAGGGATGGAGGAAAGATGAACAGATGAAGAGTCAGGAAAGCGCTGCACCTCTGGCCCAGGTGTCCTTGGCGCCTGTGGCTCCAGAGACTCACCCTGAGCTCAGGGTCAGTGAGCCACACGAGCAGATAAAACCGATGACTTTCTTCATGCAGGGCGGCTTTTTTTATTTTTAAGGGAATGTGGTCACCTGTGCAAAGGGAGGAGTATATTTTCTAACCCTGTATTTTATGACCATAAAAATAGATGGTTAAATTGAGGATTTAAAAGTTGTTCAGTTGGGACTTGTTCTGTCCAGCAAATTAAAAAAATACATACACACACAGCTCTACGAGATATGAGAAATCTTCCTGGCCAGTCCCTTCATTTTAGAGATGAAGATGCCAGGGTCAGGGAACTGCCCGAGTTTCCACTAATAACTGCTAAGCGGTGCAGGTGTGGAACCCAAATTTCCTGAATCAAATGGCCAGTGTTCTTACTCTCAGAGTCAGAGTAGAGGGTGAACTCAGGATGGATTCAGGAGTCAGAGCAGGTGGGTTCAAATCCCATGCAGCCACCTGCCAAATGATTCTGGACAAGTTGCTTCTCTTTCCCGAGGTTCAATTTTCTTCTCTGTACAATGGAAATAGCAATAGTCCCCTGCGGGACTGCTGGGAAAGTCAGTGGAATCGCATCCGTAAAAAGCCCACGCTGTCCTTGCTCCTTTCTAGTTCACTACGTCTCCATGGCTACGCACGCCTCCAGGGTTACTGAGTGGATAATTCTGAAGGCAAAGAAGTAACAGGGCGATAGCCCTCTACACGCAGCGCTTTCATTACCATGAGAAAGCCGTTACTAAGAACTTATTTGTTTCAGAACGAGCGCTATATTGCTCTCATAATTAAGAAAACCATGAAAGCTATTCATATCTTGGAAAAAGTAATTAAGAAATTGACTACATGTCAGCCTAAATAAAGAGAAATAAATAGGTATCTTCTCTGTCCACTGAATGTTATGAGCATAAAAGGTTATAGGGAAAAACGATAGCCAAATAAAATATCTTAACCCTGTCACTTGAATTTAGCAATGGAAACCATGTAAAGCTAACAAGTGTCTTCTCTAAGGAACTGTGACGTTTGGGTAGCATCCCTGCTAAAACATGAACCAACCGCACAACTAAGAAACAAAGCAGACACCCGTGTTGTACAGAATGCGCCTTTGAGGTCTGTGTAAAAAGCCAGCTGGGAGAATGGACTTTGCCATGTGGTAACCAAGGAGATTAAGATACAAGTCCACTAACTTGTTTACTTGTGTTTTAACCTCAGATTCACTGTGGAAGAACCCTTTGGATGGCTAAGTGACTTTTCATACTGTTCTATTTATCGACCCCCAAAAGATAGGGTCACCCTTGACTGCAACCAGAGAAGGCTGTAATCAGGCCAGACTGCATTTAGCACCTGATCACCCTCTGTTTTTGATATCACAGTTGGGGAGCAGTGAAAAGGGGAAGGAGCTGGAGTTGAGGGTGCTGAGAACTCTGTACACATCCAATTCCCCGCCTATTTCCCCAGGGCCTATTCTCCAGTAATTTTATAGGACCCACATCTTTCATAACAGGTATGTGCAGCGGACAACCAATCAGCTGATCTTTCCCACAGGGTCATCTTGATTATTCAGACTAAGAGGAGGAGGAAGAACCTAAGTGAAGAGTGATAGTTAAGAAAACTGTATTGGACTTTGAAAAACTTGTCTGCCAATCTTTCCACTGATAGATAACAGTGTCATAAACAGACCACGAGCTCTGGAGGCCAAGTGGTGGAGGTTCCTATAGCCCGGTAACCCCAGGCCTTAAGATCAACGACTTCAGTTCTTTCCTCTTAACCTACCAAACAATTGCGTAATAAAGAATTTGACAATTCCCAAGTAGACCTTCATTTGATTGGAATATGAGCTCATCAGTAACCTTGAGTACTCTAGACTGTGCCAATCCCTTTGGGCTTAATCAGCTCAGAGTGAATTGATGAAGCTGAGTAGCAGACCTACTCTCAGAATGGAACCCCCCAATTCCACAAGAGCGAGCCTGCCCAGGGAGCCAGCTGGCCTCTGTCCTGACTGAAACTGACTACACCACGTACGGCGCAGACTATAAACAGTTTACACATTCTTCCCTGACACAGCCTGATCCCTTGATCAGCTCAAACCGAGGCAGACCTGCTGAGTATAACTGGCCTAGTGTGTGGCCAGGACACGTTCCCCAGCCTCTAAGTCTGTACTGCTTTCTCACCCACCCTTCCCTCCTTTTCGAGAAGTTCTCTTGTCTACAAGGGAAGCTCTGGAAATGGAGGATGCGGGGGGGGGGGGGTACTAAAATAATAAGGACATCAAATCGATAGCTATTCCAAAGCCTGCACCAAGAATTATGAAGACAAACAATAGGAAGGAACGCCTAAAGCTTTTTAACATCACTAAGATCGCTTTTCATATGCCAAAGCAGAAACTAACTAAATGGATTCTTATTGAACAGCAAGAACTAATGTCTGATCTGCACACAATATCCCTCACATCTAGGAGGGGCTTCGGGCTTTGGGCTTCGGGACGGGGCTGAAAAATAACCAGACACACCGGCCAATACCTGTAACTTCATCACTCCACAACCTTATCCCTCAAAATCCAGATGATAAGTACATCCTTAAAACGGTCCCTAAAGCCAATGACCTAGGATTTGGCACACTCTGAGAACGACAGTGATTTCTGCAGCGGCCCTGCCTCAAATCCAATAGTGATCATGCGTAAAGTGCGCCCTGCCTGGAGTGCACAGAGGCTTTCGAATACACCCCCCTCGTTACATAACACGCGCTTTGAAGGTGAGGACGCACACCATTTAGGCAGCAACTCATGGCCCCAGCCAAAGAAAGCAGAGCGGACACTTGGGAACTTACTTTGGGACCACGGCCCAGGTCTTCTTTAACCGATAGATGGCATTGGACTGCAGCGCGGACACGATGGCCCGCAAGGAGGAGAAATTCTTCAGGATTCTGCATTCCTGTGCGGAGAGTGATTAAAACATAAAAGGCGTTTAAATATCAATAACACAGTGAGCTGGTCATTTCCTGTTTCAGAGGTATCACAGCTGCTATGAATTCTTACCACGAAATAGGCAGCTGTATAAATACCGCACATCAAAAAGTGGCCCCTCACTCCCACCCTGTTCGCCGAAACACTTTATAGATTTTGGCACTGCGAGCTTGTTTTGCTCTCCTTTAATATATTTTTTGTGTTGTTGTTACAGTTTTATAGTTTCCAGCTCCCCTAGTAAAAACAGGAATGGAGGTGAGCGTGCAGAGCTGTGCTAGAGAAAGCGAACTTTCTTCTGCTGAAAGTGCACAGACGCCCTAAAAATACACATGAAAGATCAACGTATTCTTAAGCCCCACAAAGTCAACGGGGTAGCAGCCTCTTTGAGGTCAGATGGTATCGAGAAGCTCATAACCAACCCAGAGAGGTGTACATAACTTGGCAATGAAAATTCACCACAACTTGAACTTTGGCTTTTATGTTCTTAGCCCAGAGGCAATATTTTTATACACATTCATTTAGTTTCAAATTGGCCTGTGCCACAAACATAAACATGCAAAAACACCTTGGTACTTCAATGTTTCCAAAATAACTTGCGCTTTTAAAATCGAATTCATTTTTGGCAACGTTTTCAAAACAAAATAGAAGGAGAACAGGAAGCATTCTGGATGTCGTTTTGTGGGTAAGGGGAAAGGCTCCCTGATTCTGCAACTTAAGCTGCCACAGGGGGACGACGGCCTCCGCAGACAGTTGCCCTGGAGTCCAAGTTCTGCCGAATGAATGGCAGGGAGAGCGGAGCAGTCCGGGAGAGGGCCCCACGCCTACCTGGCGGGCGGGGAAGGGGGAAACACAGGGAGAGTGGGCCGCGCCTTCTGTCGAAAGAGACACTTCGTACACAGGCCTGTGGGAGTGGGATCCACCCACTGTTTACCATTAAGTGCACCGTGCAAGCAGGGGGTGGCTTTGTGCAGAACAGCTGGGGAACCAAGGTCCCAGAGTGGTTGGGCATAAATGCACATCGCTTAAAAGATCATTTCACAAAGTAATGCTAATCCTGAATATGAAGGAAAAACAGCATTCTCTAATTTAGCATGCCAAATCCTGGCCACTTAAAACTATGCCAAACAAACCCTCAAATATTTTCTTTAGAGTAAATGCCAAAGTACATTACAAAAATCAGGCCCACTCTTTTTAAATGTCTAAATGCCTTCCCCTTACTTCAAGGGAGAGAGAAAGAGAGAAAGAGAGAAAGAAAGAAAGAAAGAAAGAAAGAGAGAGAGAGAGAGAGAGAGAGAGAGAGAGAGAGGGAGGGAGGGAGGAGAGAGAGAGAGAGAGAGAGAGAGAGAGAGAGAGAGAGAAAGAAAGAAAGAAAGAAAGAAAGAAAGAAAGAAAGAAAGAAAGAAAGAAAGAAAGAAAGAAAGAAAGAAAGAGAGAGACAGCTCTGAACTACAGTCGGTCTGGAAACCGAGAGCATGGTTCAACAAAGGTTCAGAATCCAGAATCCTGTTCTAAGAATCAGGAGACTTGCAATAAATAAAAGAACTCAGGCACAGATATTTCATGCAAATTGTGATAAACATATGGAACACATTAGGCAGAAAGAGGCTGAAGCCAAGGGTTTAAAGGAGCAGAGAAGGCATCCGGCCTCATTTCTAGAAAAGAAGGTCTCCCTCCAGGAGATAAGATACAAAAGGAAAAATCTAGCAGGGGGGCCGGTCCAAGAAATGTGGTCATATTCGGTCAGAATTTTTTCTCTGTGTGTAAAACGATCAGTTTTCAAACATCCTCTCAATAAAAATTGACTGTGATCATGATGCCAGATAAGTGCAATGGATCGCGGCAGGAAGCCGGCGAGGAGTCTGCGTTCGCCCGCTCGACCGGGAGGGGCACAGATGCTCAGCAGGAAGAGACCACTTCATCCTGGCTCTTCTTCATTCCAGATCCCACAGCATCCAAGCACAGGCGATGGGATCTGGAGGGAACTTCGAATTATTCAACTCGTATTTCTTATTATCACATAAATGTGTGGTTTATATTTAATTCTGAACCAAAAGGCATTGTGTGAGCCACACTGTTGTACATACAGATGCTGTATTCTTGCTATAGATTTTCTAAGCAGTTGAATGAATTAGAGATACACAGACTATTTTCTTTGAGGCCTCAAAAAGACTGCAAATGATATGGCATTAATGGCAAAAAAAATGTTCTCTTAGCGTTCTAAGAAGACCAGAACAGTCTCATGCTCTGTCATACTCCGTCAGAACTTCTTTCTGTAGCTCTTGTTGGGAAATAAGCTCAATTCAGAAAAGAAAAACCTATAGTGCATGAGATAGTCTTTGTTTCTAACCTTTTTCATGTACTAAAAAGTCTGTGGTAACCTAAAAACCTGAAAAAAAGGCAAATTCTCTGGTACAATTATGGCCTTGTTCTTTAATTCAAGACTACTAAAAAGAATGTGAAAAAAGAGAAGGGGTGTGAAACTGTAAGCATCATGCCCTACAGATAGAGGCTTAATGACATATATCTATATATAGTAAGATTAAAAATGTGTTTCTGTTGAAGGGTGGCCCACATGGCCCAGAACACGGGCTAATGAGATATTTACAGGGGTGGGGACCCACCAAAATGGAATTATCTTCTGGAGGGCATACCCCTTGTAGTACCACTAGGTGAGTATTCTAGGAACCCACCTGTATCAGTCTACCAGCAGGTGTTGTTGTGAGAGGCTGCATTTGGCTTCAGTGAATTTTTTTTGAAGACTCTTGCAACGTTTGCCAATTTCATGATGGGTGGTTTATGAGCTCACCTACCCCCCTCATGCTGAGTGTTCAGCAGTTTTTGACCAAAAATCGCCATGACCCCCGTGCCCCACCCTTCCTATTCACCCATCCTCACATCAAGTGACTTTTTTTTGTTTTCCCGGATGAAAAACGTACTCCAAGGAAAATGTTTTACTGATGTGGAAGAGATGAAGCAGAAAACAGCAGAACTAAAGGGCACCCAAATTGATGAGTTCAAAAACTGTTTTGAGCACTGGAAAAACTGTCTTGATAGGTGTATTGCATCAAACGGAGAGGAGTTAGAAGGTGACTGAGGTTCAAACACATAAGAATAAATACACAGTTTCTTGTAAACATATTCCAGTTTGTCGGGGTTGCCCTCGTACATAGTAATTATTTTTCAAAATTGTTAATTATATACCTTTGGCTGATACAATTTCTTCTACCTAGAAAACAAAATCTTCCCCAATCTTCAAATACCAAGAGTTGTATCTATTATTCAAACTAAATGCAAATGCCACCGTATCCACGAGCCTTCCCCAGCCAGCGTGGGCAGAGGGGCTTCCCCCCTCCCCCCCTGCAGCGTAGGGCTCCCCCGGCCGAATCCTCTGCCCCGGGGGCTGAGACAGCTCCGGGACATCTGAGCTTCCTTGTTTGCCTACAGGTCCCATGAGACCAAATTCACTGTGCTCATCCTGTCTAGGTGACTGAAATACGTAAAACTGTAGCTTACACACTTTTAGAAGTCCACAAAATATTTGGTGGCCCCTGACTCAACACTGTCCACCTCTCCTCAGTGATGAAGTAAGACAATGATAAGGTCATATGGCACACAAGTGGCTGACCCACGACAGACACCACACTGACTCTCAGCAAAATGTAATTCAGGCCCAGGAACAGACTCTGCCCCTCCAGCTTCAGGGGTAAGACTCTCAGAAAAGCACCAGATTAATGTGCAATCTCTGTATCTCAGTCCTTAAGAAACAAAGATACGGGATTCTGAGAAGGCACTGGCTCTTCCAATCTGCAGAAGACAGGATGCAGGGACAGTCACTCCACGTAAAAGAGCAGTCCGTCTGTCACTTAGGCCACCAGTCTGTATCTACTGAACGCAGTGCATGCAGAGCTGACAGCGTGATTACAAGGAAAATGCCGACAGGCTGTCTCAACCTGGAGAAGCGGCAGTGTGGGGCTCCGGGGGCAAACAGGAGCAAGCAAGGAAAAACAGGAAAGAGGGGAAAAATAAATAAGCTCCCACGTTAAGAAAGGCAACTTGCCTACTTCAGCAGTAACAATGAACAAAACCCAACGGGCCCTCGTTCAGTCTTTCAATTGCCTTTCAACCAAACAGAAACGACTTAAACACAGGGATGAAGGAGTCTCCGGTATCTATTAAACACAAAGAATACTTTTTGAAAAGACAATTACGTGAGCAATGTTAATCCACTTCTCGATGATTCTGGCTCTCTGCTGAGTCTTGAGTTCTTTGCCCCCCAGGATGGTGCTGACGACGCACTTGGTGAGGGTATTAAATTGAGAGATGGTGGCTCGGATGGTGGGAGCCAAATGTTTGTTCTCCTTCTTATCCCTTTGAGACCAAATGCAGCCCAGGCAGTGGTGAGGCACTACTTTCTTGAACAGTTGCTAGAACAAAAGAGGAATTCACTTTAGGGGCAACACAGACATGGCCTGTGGCAAAGTGCGTCATCTGGGTCGTCTGTACATTGCTTCTTTTTTTTTGGAGTGGACAAAATAATCCTTTTCTACTTGATTTGCCTCATGGTGTTCAGTTCAATAGACAAAAGTAAGTAATTAATATAGTAACTGATCAGAGAAGCCCACATGTTCTTTCTAAACCTGCTCAACTGAAGAAATAAAAATGACCCCCCCAAAATTCAAAGCCCCAAAACACTTTGACTTTTCTGTCTCAAGGAAAGCAAAGTAAAAATCTACGCTGTTAAATTTAAAAAGTGATTAAGATTAGTTTTGACCTCTCACTTTGTAGGTTATATAAATGTCTAATCACTCTATTATACACTGAAACTACTACAATATCACATGTCGACTGGAACTGGAAAATGTTAAAGATTATTTTGACCTTGAAATCATGCCCACGGTGCTTTCTGGGCACTTCTGAGCATGAATGGTCTATAATGCATATGAAAGCTCAATGGCCACTTGAAAAGTGATCCATTGAAGTACAATACACGCGACATTCATCAATGTCACTATTTCATATTATTTAAAATGAAGAAGGTAAGGAGCATATAAAAGAAAAAGTTATTCAACCTGAAAATCATAACCAATGACATTTTTCATCTTCCTCTTATGCTATCATGTGGAACAACCACAAATTTGCTGAACAAATCGGATACTCATTTGCACAACAATTCAAGATATTGAAGAGTTTATATAAACAAAGAGAGAACACCAGGATTACTTTATATTTGCTGTCTGTTGTACTTCTGGGGGGTTAGTTGCATGCTCACTAGATAGAAACTCTGCAACTTTTCACACTGCTTTCTCCAAAGTGGTAAGTGCAGAAGAGCCCAAACCATTGTGATAATTCATAATAGTCCTTTTCTCTTTAACTGGTATGTACCAGCTGAGATCGAGCTATGAAACATGGCTGATGTAACCAAATATGTACAGCTAAAAAAATACTCAAACTTCAAAGGTACAAGAAGCACATGTGGAAATGAGCTGCAGATACAGTCACATGTGGATTTGGTGCATTTATTTTATCCTCATACTTTGACCTTTTTGCAGTCCTCCAAGTAAACAGTTCAGATCTTGAAATATTTATGAGTTTAAAGGGGGAGAAATATCCATGGGACGAGGTAGATTTTGTTTCACCGGGATTAAAATTCTCATTCCCCTCTGTGCACTGAGCCAAGGAAAAAGCACCTTCGCCCCGAAATGCAAGAAGAGCTAAGGCCTGAATTATTCAGATGACTGATTCAAATCACAGCTTCGCTCTGCATTTACAGGCATGGCCTCTCTCAAGGATTTGAGAAGACTTAAGTCACATTACCCCTGCCCTCGCTGGGGCCACCAGGACTGCCACACCCCCCCCCCCCAGGCTTTGAGCAGAAGCTCGTGTGAGGCAGAGAGAGAGGACGCACTGCATCCATGTAGGTCAGCTGCTCCGCCACGAGGTCTTCGGAGAAGCACGTGAACTCCACGGACCCTCCAGTCTCCAGTTCCTCTTCCTCTTCCAGGCGGCAGGGTATGGTGCTGGGAAACCCATCTGTCGATGGAGAGACAAAAGTCAGTTATTTTGGGGCCCCTGTATAGGACCCTGCCTAGGCAGTCCAACGGAACTTTTTTCTTTTAGGAAGGAAAGGGCAAATCCTTCAGAAAACCCACAGGGAGAGAAGGGTGAGCAAAAAGAGTGGGCAAAGTCCGGGGAGAAGCAAAGCTGGGCTCCGTTCTGGGGGTTACCCTCATCCTGGGCTCCCTCAAACCCTCTGGTTAGCTCAGGGACTACCCCGACTACTTCCTGAACCCCAAATACGCAATTCTTAATCACTGGGCCATTTACCACCAGAGGTCTAGAAGAACCAAATGTGAAGGCAGGTGGGCTTTGGGGAGTAAAATGGGCCACTGTGGTGTCAGAAATGTTGACGGAAGTCCTCAGAAATCTCAAAAAAGTCCTTGAAATTCTCAAAATGCTTGGAATGGCTTTCAGCTTCCGCCTAAATTTAAACAGGCATGAAACAGGACAATCTAAACTAAATTCACCTTCAGCCTTATTACAGATCAGATCATCGACGAGCAACTGACACAGGGTACAGGCTGAGGAAGTGAGTAACAGCCCTACACTCACTGCCCCGACTCGAAATCCAAAGCGGGAGGACTCAGCCCGGGACCTCCAGGCTGCAAGGCTAGAGTGCGAGGGAGGTCAGGTGACCCCCCAGCCTCCCTTCCCTGGAACCTTCCCAGGTTCCGGGGTTGCTTCCCAGTCTCATCCCCCTTCACACTGCTTGCTCTCCTCTCTGTTCAGTCTGTTTTCATGGAAAAATACCTGGCTCTATCCAGTTACACCTTAGCAGAAATTTAAACGTGTGTCACTACTCCCCCGGCATGTTTACTGCGGTAAGGCTTTTCTCTCTCGTAGAACAAAGGACGTCTAGGCACCTTGGGTCAAGTTGGGGTGGCCTTTTCTCAGTCTTCTAGCAGAAGGAGGGTGTGGAGAGTGGATCCTACATCGCTTCCCCCACCGAGGCTCCACACAAGTCTCGCCACCTCTGGTGGCAGGTGTGTGGCTGAAGGCTGGCCCCTCCTCACGGAGCTGAAAGCACTGCTGTGGGTGGGGGTGGGTTGTGACTTGGGAAGGCAGGAGGGGGTCGCTGCCCGCTCCAGAGCCTGGGACACAAACAGGCCTAGAAAGTGGAAACCCCAAGATCCCACCACGGTTCCTCCACACAACTCAGGTACCCTCTCATTCCACGGAGGAATGAGACCTCGAAATGCCAAGCAAAGGTTCAGAACGGGTCCCTCCACCTTCTTGCTAGCGACTCCGTCAATCTGCCTCTATCACTCTGCGGTGCAGAGGCCGGCCTGCTTCAGCCAAAGGGCGTAGTATGGTGGGCAAGGCTCATCTCCTTCGCTCAGCACCAGACAGGCCCTGGATGTTGCTGTGAAAGATCAGTGCTCCCTTCTCTCCGGGGCCCAGACCCTGTTTTTGCTTTCGACTCTCTTCCAGGGGCGTGTACGCAAAAACCTGAAGCGAATTCCACTTGTGAAAAACATACAGGCGAGATGGCAGATACTGGTATGAAATCGGGCGAGAAAAAGCATGGGAACCAAGTTCCTAAAACTCCCTTTCAGTTAATAATCAGAGGTTCGAGCCTTCTTGATAAAAAAAAAAAAAAAATCCAAACTTAGAAAACACTCATGCTTGGGTACCGCCTGCAAGCCTCTCCGAAGTCAGGCACCCTCCCCATCCCCTCTTCCGCCTGCCAAGTGAGCTCTTCCCTCGGTGCCTGGGCAGGGACAATGAACGACTGGTCCCACCAGTCCCCCAATTAGGCCGGGAGCCAGGGCAGCCCCAGGGGGAGCGCTGGGCTCTCGAGCGGCGGGGAGGCCCGGAGGGAGCCGAGCCCTGGCCGCTGGAGGAGAGGCCTGGTGTTCAAACATTCCCGGCAGATGAAGTCATCAGAGATACGGGTACTTGGCAGGCAGCTTCCGATGATGCAACTGCATTTTCCCCTCTCTGGTCCCCCAGAGCATAAAAAATTCAACAGGTACTGTTTAGAATTTAAGGTTATTTTCTTTGGCACTCAGGCAGCTTCCCTTATCGGCGTGGAGGAACCGTTTCCTGTGCCCCACTGAGGAAATCGGGCATCACTTCAGGGAAATGCCTGTCAGGGGCTCCAAGTGGGTCAGCTGTCATGGCAACCAGTGCCCAGCACGCCAGCTGGGGATGAAAACACCAGGCTGAAAGCCTGTCCTGACCGCTCTCTGGCTTTCTTCAAAGCCCTCCCGGCCTGGTAGCTCTTCCTTTGTCCCTGAAAAGAGGCAGTCAATTCCTCAAATAGGAAAAAACAGCCGCAGAAACTTCCTTTGGTGAGGCCATTGGAGACCGGAAGTGACCGGCAGCCCTCCCTGGCAGGGGGCAGATTAAGTAGCTGGGGGAGCAACACCTCCCAGCTCCCAGGAGGGCAGGCGCGGGCTGGGGGCGACTCCTGGCCTGCTGGATGGTGGCTGTTTGTGGTAAGCTTCCATTTGATGGAAGGAGGAGCCATTAGGCAGATACTCGGAGCAAATTCAGGTTCACAAGAAAACTCTTACAGTATTAGAGGAAACCCTGGAAAATTTCTTCACTTGTCCCAGTCCCAGTCCCTCACAGATAAAATGAGGGAGCAGGGCTAGGTGGTCTTGAAAAGCCCCTTTGCTCTAAAACTCTAGGGCTCTGTAATCAGCTATTGAATAACCTTGAGAATTCTACACCCACCACCAACTCCCCTGCACTTGCCCTTCAGAGAGAAGCCAAGGGCCCCTGTCGCTCAAGTGTGGGGAGAACACACCCTCAACAGGGCGGTTACAGAGTCAGAGTCTAGCTTTTTCCCTGCGACCAAACAGGCAGCCACTCACTGTCAGTTTCTGCTTCTTGCTTCTGAAACTGCTCCAGAAGATTCTGTGCTCTTCTCTCTGGGTCAGAGCCTGGCATCATCTGTTTGAGATAATCCAGCAGTTTCTGTAGGCAAGGGAAGTGAGGTGGCTCTCGGAAGTCCTCTGCGCATTGGTCCAGCCAGGCCCTGAGGATAGAGGCGATCGCACTGAAAAAGAGAAAGCAAGAGTCACTGCGCCCCGCTGGCTGAGGGGCGGGGTGCGCCGGGGCCCAGGGCCCGGCCTGGGCACAGTGCAGGGGAAGGCAGGCAGGTGGTCCGCAGGGGGTTCACCTAAAAGTTCCAGGCAGCGTCTATGGAATTAAAGCCCTTGAAAACAAGCGGACCACATTTTATTATTTTACGCAGCGGTTGAAGAGGAGAAAGATTGATAATTATTTTTTTAAAGGACTCTCATCTTTGGAAAAATCCACGTGGGACAGAAGAAGACATGCAGAAGGAGATTTAGTGAGCCTTGAAGCAACTTCAAAGCAGTCCGCACACAGGGAAACTGCCTGCAATTCTGGATTCTGGACTCGCTCCAATCAGAGACCACAAAACCCAGGGGCCTAGCATTTCAGGGCTTAACTGACTACAAATCCTGGGGATGAAGGGAAGTGCCCAGGTTCGGAAAAGATGAACGCACACATTGAATTTACAAAGATCACCAGGGTTTCAACGTAAGAACCAAGTGCGTCCTCTCAAAAAGATCCTTTTGCTCCTCCTACTACAAGAGAAGCTGACGTTTCAAGTGGGAGAAGTAGTGCGAATGGAGAAGTTCAGTTTTGAAAGGCAAAGGGGGACAACCCAGTCCGAGAACCCACTGTGAAGGTGACGGGGCCAAACAAGGTCGGGGGTGCTGTGTGTTCTCAGCTCTCTCGGGACATGGTGCTTAGAACCGGCCCGTGGGATGCTGTCTCCAGGTGAGAGGCAGCCCCTCACTCGGTGGAAGAGATAAAGAGCTGGCTGACACAAAGGGTCACGAGTTTTGAGTGCTTCGAAGTCAAAGAAGGCGGCAGAGCCGAGTCCGGCCCCTGCTGGGCTGTGGCCTGCGGAGAGCACAGCTCCTGACCTCGTCAACCGTCAGCACCCTGAGAGCCACGGCACGTTCACTGACGATGGCCAGAGAAGGTGGCAGGAACCGTGAGTTAGCCAGGACGCATTTTATTGACAGAGAGATGACGCTTCATGGTAGCTAATGACCTACGTGAACAAAATTTTTCAGCTGAGAAAAATTTTAAAAAAATTTTTAAGTTATTATCTAATTATACTTCAAACACTGCTTATTCTAATGAACAAACCTCAAAGAGGCTAAAAGGTATTACGACCCACAAGTGTGGACCTGTAGGCTGGGCTTTCACAGGTGCCTCTGAAGTTCCCATGTCCCAGTTTCACGCACTTATGGTCAAGGTCTGAATGTGATGGACGCCAACTTAATGATTGATTTTTGGAACTGAAGTCTGAACAGGAGAAACATAAATTTGCTAACTGTTTTCACTGGAATGGATACTACTGTTTCACTAAGGCGAATAGGAAGGCATTTGGAACTACACTATTCACGTATCCATAGCACAAACAGGTAGCATAAACCATCAAGTAAAAGCTGGAATTTCAAACCATAGAAGCAACTCAATGTTCTCCAAATTTTAGTCTGGATTAGATAAAAAGATAAACAAAAGTTTCATTCCTTTCCAGAATGCTAGGAGAAATTAATCTTGGCTCTGAGGTTAATTGAAAACATGAGTAAGATGAAATTCACGAACGTCTAGTCGGCGAACCGTCAGTATTTGACTCGCTGCTTATGTCATCTGTTGTGTATCAGTGTTTCTGTCCCCTCAAACCCTAACCCCCAAACTGAGGGTCTTCTGCTCTCTGATAGCTCACATACAGCATTGATTATTTCTCCTCTCCTCACAAAAACCAAACATCAGAAATTTAAAAAGAAAACGATGAAGAGGCATTCTAATGTTTCATTTTTATAAGGAATGAGACTTTCTCTATGAATAATTTCCCTCATTCCTGATGAGCAGTGAGCCTAGAGCCGTGGCAGGCACACAGGCGGGGTGATAGCGTAGAACAAAGAAAAGCTACAGTTCGCGTCCATTGTGTTGACTCTTGCAGAATGACCATGCTCTTCTCGAAAGACAGATGAATTACGTAGGACCACTACTCAGCTGATATTCCTTAGACATTTCAGTGAGAGCATGCTCTTCCAATGACACTGTTGGAAATATAGGTGTAGAGGGATAATAACCCACATCATGTGATAAAAATCAACAGCATCCACCTGAGAACGAGCCCAGCAGCCCAGTGACCCTAGTGACCCCTCAGAGCTTTGTAAGTGACCAAAACCCCGGACAGAAATCAAAATCGCAGGTAAAGACGTGTATAAACTAAATCAATATATCTCATACTCCTTTCCCCCCTGTTATTTTCAAGATTAGAAAACATTATTTATCGACAAAGGCAGATGTTACAAACGTGTGTAAACTGAAACAGCGAGATATCCACTCCCCCTTCTTCTGACTCTGTTCCCATGAACTTCGGTTAGCAGTCTGGAGTGAACCCGTTCAGACTTTTCTATGGAGATATATTTAAATAACCAACGTGGCTTTCCCCTACCGAACAGCACGGACGGTCACCTCTCTACTCTCTCCCTCTAGACCTTTCCATTTCTCAGGGCTACATGGTGTCACCACCTGGATGCACCGTAACTGATGTAAGTGTTCTTCCACTGGTGTGCAAGCATGTAAGCTACTTGTCAGTCCTCAATTACCAGCAACTACAAAACGTGTATCCTTGTTTGCATCTCTGGGCACTGGTGTGTTTCTACGGGGTGCATTACAAAGAACTTGACTCCTGGAAAGCTGCAGCCTCAGAAGTCTGCTTTGTAGAGGAACGTACTTAGTTCCAAATGGAGGGAAGTGCAAAATGTGTCCCCCTCATCTCCTGTTTGAAAACAGCTCTGGTGATCGACTCATTTTACCCTTCGGGACAATGCCACTCCCCCAGCTGAGCCTGAGAGGACTCTGGAAGTTCACTACAAACCCAGACATTGAATGAGCTAGAAAAAGCATTTTCGCACAGTAGAAAAATGAAGGGGAAGGAGGAAGAAGAAAGGAGAGAAGGGAGAGACATGCACGATCAGCACAACACAACACAAAGCAGACCCCTGCCCTCCTGCAGGCAGGCCGTTTTTCAGGATGCCCGGTGCAGGGAGGAGGAGGCTTTCTGGACAAGTGCCTGAAGCTCACAGTAGCCTCATGTGTGTCAGTCCTGAGAAGGACCTTCCCATTCTTAATAGACTAAGAAGCAGATAAAATGTGAATGTGTAAGATTTCGAAAAAGGAGAGCAACATCACACAGTCGCGAGAGAAACCACCAGGCTACTGGCCAGTGGCTTCTTCATCTCACCCTCTTGGTTCCGCTCCAAGATCCAACGTACACACGAACCAGATCTGGTTGGTTAGGAGGATATAATAAACTTTAACGCAGAAGGGAAATCCTGGGTTTGAGTCACAAACTTATGGGCAAGGCGTGACTGTTAAACCAGAGAGGCTGCCCAGCTCTGCACAAGAAGGAGAATGGAGCCTGGAAAAGGAGGGCTGACTCCCACCCCAGCAGGGCCCCTGTGAGCGAGCACACCCTCAACTCCACGATCTGGAGCAGAGACATAACAACGCCTGCCTCATCCACCTGGCACTGACCCAGTGTCATTTCCAGTTACGCAGTTATCATTAAGGACATGTTGAGGCATCCGGAGAGAAATCGGTCTTCAAACTACTTGCCATAAGCCACAAAAGGGAGGTACTGAAAAAAGGTAAAATGGCCCAGTGAAAATCAACCAGCACTCCAGGAAATCAACTCGAAGAATCGGCCACCTCCCCCAGAAAGAATGACGCAGACTGCCTACCCTGCCACAACTCACAGAGCTGCGGGCCTGCTGGAGGCAAACGGCCACTGAGGACAGACGCCCCCCCCCTGTCCCCACTGCACCCCCTCCCCAGGCATCCTGCTTAAGACGAAGCAACCCAGAGACACCAAACGGCAATACAAACTGCAGGACATGATTCCTAAGTGACTTGTGAAGACTCAAGAGGTAATTTCTGAAACCAGACAGAGAGATGAAGACTGGCACAGCCTACACTCGGGAAGGAGACAAGCCAGCGCACGACCTCCTTTTCCAAAGTGTGCGCTGGTGGCTTACAGAACAAACGCCTCTGTCCCCAGGGGAGGTGGACATCTGCGTGAGCGTGTTGGGTACGTGGCCAGGGGCAGGCAGGGGGCCAAACTTCAGAGCAGAAGGGATGACCGAGGCTGCTTTTTCTACCTCCAGCTTTCTTGGCAACATGCAAAGCTTTGTAGTCCATGAACCTTTTCCAACCTACTGCAGGTTGACGTGGGGGAAGGAAGACGTGCTCAGACATCAATGTGTGGAACTGGCTGAGATACTTCCTTCTAAGAAAACAGATCTCTGGCGGGGGGGGGGGGTTAACCTGCTCATTAAACTGATACTTACTGGGTGCCCTTTATCTTCCCTGTTCACAAAAACTATCTATTTGGCAACTGTCACGACAGGACTAGGGTCCCCTGGAAGGATTTACCTTTGGAAAGACCCAGTCTAGTCAGGGCTTCAGCGAGCACCTCCCTGAGGAAAGAATGTTAACACTGAGATGTTACGGGCAAGGAAGAGTTAGCAGGGTGAGGACTGGGGCAAGGGCTGAGCAAAGGCCCTGAGGTGAGAGAGAGAGCAAAACACTTTGAAGGGATATAAGGACCTGTTTAAAGAATAGAAAGAGAGGGGAAGTATGAATCACGATGAGATTGGCTACACTTATTTATTTCTTAGCCAAGCAGAAATCACACTTAGTGATACCTGGTTGGAGATAATAGATACATGACTTAGCTGAGAGGTGGAAGAAAACGGCACAAAACTTTTAGCCACACCCCGGACCTTCCATGTGGGGTAGGAAAGCTGAGGTGGGCATTGTGGCTGCTATTATGCTCAAACCACGGATTTTTAATGCAGACAGAGATTGTTTAGGTAAATGGATTAAATCATTAAAAATCCCATGAGTAGTACTCTAGAATTGATAAAACGTTTAATAAAAAAAAAAACTTCAGGTATGAAGTCACCTCTCCCATAATTTGTACGTATGTAACCTCCATGG